CGCACTGGCAGCGTGAGCAGCAGCAAAGGTGGGCGGCACACTGCGCAGGCTCCCACAAGACGCACACCCATGCTGCCCACCCCACGGAGAACACCACGTTCCGGGGAACTAAGACGGTGCCAGAGCTGGCTGCTCAAGGTCTTGACTTAAAGCACAGTGAAACTGACCAAGCATAATTTTACGTTCCTTCTTTCTCCTAAACCCTATAGGAGCACAAACTCTGAAAAGTGTACGTGTCCAAATGGTCCTTGCCAAATTTTCTCCACCTAAAACACTGCACTAAGCAAGCACCACGACTAAAAAGGAGCGTGTGGATCATCTGTCCTCTGGCCACACTGAACCCTAAGTGAAGGGAGTCTCACAGTAGGGTGCTCGTCTCCAAAGGGTCCTAAAAGAAAAGAAATGGAAGCCCAGATAAGAAATGTTTTGGATAATCAACTGGCTTCTTTTCATCTTCAAAGAGCTCGACATGCGCTAATTAGCCTCACACCACCCTCTGAGGTAAGAGGGTGACTTCCCTTCCAGGTGGGGCGCAGGGAGGGTGCTTCACCCTTGCCCCAGGTCAGTGGGAGAGTCGGAGTCAGCAGAGGCCTGGGGCAGAGCCCTGACAACAACAGCTCAGTCTGAGGTTCCTGGAGCCGCCCATCTGCCCACGCGGAACCCAGCCCACAGCCACCTGTACCTGGGCATTTGCTCTTATTTTTTAAACTACATGCAACACGCAAGAGTAGCTTCGACTCAACATCTCTCCCCCTGCTTGCCCAGCAGCAGGCTTGGGTGGGACTGGAGGTGCTGGCATTATTTGGCTTTCCTGGTTTTTACCACTGTTGTTTGTGAAAAAGAAAGAAAGAGAGAGAGAGAGAAAAAAACTGTGAAGGGGAGACATGACCCTAATAGCTGGTACACAGCAGAGCACTTTGCTGCCACTGGTCCCACCAGCCACGCCAGGAGCAGTCGTCAGCGTGGTCAAAGCCAAGGCTTTAAGCCAGTGCTCACAGTGGGACTAAACCCACAGTGTCTTCACAAGCCAAAGCAAAGGGACCTTCCAGTGAAATTAAGTTGCCAAACACTTGTTTCCCTCTCACAAGAGTTAAAAATCGTCCCTGCAGGAGAACTACGCTTCGAGGGAAATAAAAATCCAGGCTTGGTTTCGACGGTACTTGTCAGGAGTTCACCTGTTTCGCCTAGCCCACACTAATGAACAGGTGGATGAAAACGAAGCCAAGTGCATCAAAGGAAGCAGATGCAATCCTGCAGCACAATACACCTGCAGGTTTCGTCATGCGCGCAGCATGCCCAGCCCTCTGCCTGCAAGTCTGACAAGCCCAGGGCGAAACCTTCCCGCCCGCTCGCGCCCAGCACGGCTTCCTCCTGCTGGGGCACCTCAATCAGATCACACTGACCCTTCAGAAAAGAAAAGGAAACAACATGTACAACCCCAGCAGACTTGAGATCTTCCGGAAGAAACACAGGTCTCATAAGGCTCCAGGAGGGACGTGCTGGCACTGGAGCTGCCAGGGCCGGGCCTGCCGGGGGCCATTGCCTCACAGTTTCATTCACACACTTCCCAGGGATTTCAGAGGCTGCGTCAGACAATTGCTCACTCTCACTGGGGGCAAATCTCCACACAGATTGCCTAAGTGCTCTGCCCCGAGCAGCAGGGAGGGCTGCATCTTCTTCAGCCTCTGCCAACACATGCCCAGCTGGGCGGCAGAGGTTCAGTGTTAAGCCTTTGAGAAAACCTTTCTACACCTCAGGAAGAAGGGGAAAAACGAGAAGTTCTCTCCCCCTAAATGTGGAACTTGAAGATGTCAAAATAAAAAGCACTTCCCCAATCTTGGCTGGCTTAACTCCACTAAGAAGAATTCGATCCACTCCAACAGCCACAGAGGAGCAGGGGCAGCAAGTCTGCCCGTCCTCTGGGGACTCCAAATGCAACCTGTATCCTGTGTTGCTGCCTCTGCTAGGAAAGGAGAGACAGAAAACTTGGAAACAATCCAGAAAAAAACAACATCATGATCAAAAAAAGTAAAAAAAAAAAAAAACAGAACCTATGGGCAAAGCAATTGTCAAACTGGACAAAAAGTGGCCACCACAACCTTCCCAAGCTGAGAAGGCTTCTGAGCTCCAAGGAGCGAGGCTGGGGACGAGGCCCGGAAGCCGACAGACACCAGGACGCTGGCAGGATACAGCACCAGGCCTCGGGCAGCTGCACGCAGAGCAGCAGAGGTCTCTCCCTCCATGGCCACACAGGCCTATCCTGCCTGCAGATCACAACTGGCTCCAGCCCATGGCCAAGGCACTCTCTGACCCTACCAGCCCGGCCTCTGTCATATGTGAATGTGGCCATGGGCAAGGGAGGACAAGGCCGGGGACGGGGTGGGGGATACTCCCAGGCCAGGCTGGCAAGGAGCTGGCTGCAGGAGCCCCCCAAAGCCTGTCAAAACGAAGCTTCCTGATGGGGTGAAGGTGGTCTAAGAATTCACCTGAGTGAGGCAAAACGTGCTTGACCCTCCCAAAGCAGCACCCATGGGTGGGACAAGTCCAGTGTCCTGCCCTGCAGAGCCACCATGGACCAACGGGCTCCGATCACATTTTGTTAGACCTTCCACTTGTTTTCCCAACCTGAGACTTTTCAGAGTAAGACTCATGGCAAAAATCAAGAATCCAAATTGGGCGCAGTGGCTTGAGCCTGCAATCTCAGCACTCTAGGAGACCAAAGATGGAGGATCATGCAAGGTGAGAAGCTTGAGACCAGCCTGAGCAAGAGGGAGACCTCATCTCTATTAAAAATAGAAATAAATTAGCCAGACAACTAAAAATATACAGAAAAAATTATCCTGGCATGGTGGCACATGCCTGTATTCCCAGCTACTTGGGAGGCTGAGGCAGGAGGATCGCTTGAGCCCAGGAGTTTGAGGTTGCTGTGAGCTACACTGATGCCACAGCACTCCAGCCTGGGCAACAGAGCGAGACTCTGTCTCAAAAAACAAAAAAATAAATTAAGAATCCAATTACACCCAAACCTTCAAATGAACCATCTCAATCCACATGCTCCACTGGAATCACCTAAAGCATAAATGCACAACACCCCCCAAGGATCCACCGGCCAATGGCAGGCGGCACACATCTGGCACACCAGACCCAACCCCTCACAGCTCCCCCATACCCAGTGACCAAAGGCCAGCCTCACCCTGCACTGCCCTCCACTAGAGCAATCAAACCAAAAACCATAATAAAATCCTCTCTAGGCTCCAACCCACACAACCGGAGCAAGGGGCGCTTGAGGGCACTTGAGGACTGGTCTGTACTCCTAACCCCCAAACGCCTGGCACGGCAGGGCTCTCGATTCCATCAATACGTCAGGCATGCAGCCAAAAAACTTTTTCAAAAAAGAAATCAGAAAGACAGAAAAAGATTCAAATTATTATTAAAAAAATTTGTTAAACTATTGTTACACACTCAAGAGAACTGAAAGCAAAAGTTCAAACAAAAAACTTGCACATGGAAGTTCACAGCAGTATCACTCACAACAGCCAGAAATACCCGCACACTGGAATATTATTTGGCCACAGAAACAAAGTTCGGACACAGGCTCAGCAAGAGCTGCCAGACACACAAGGCCACGTGGCATGAGTCCATTTACGTGAAGTGTCCCCAACAGGCAAACCCACAGACACGGTGGACCCACAGTGCCAGTGAGGAGTGGCCACTTAGCAGGTAATAAGTTTCCTTCTGGGATGATGACAGCATCCTGGAATTAGGTAATGGTGATGGTTGCACAACCTGTGAATATCCCAAAAACTACTGAATTATTCGCTTTACAAGGATGCATTACTTGTGGCATTCGAATTATATCTTGAGGTTCGAGAACTGCCGTATGATATCACACATGTGTGGAGGCTGGAAGAGGCCTGAAGAAAGCAGCTGTCGACCCGGGAGAGCCGGGATTAGAAAACGTTTTATCTTCCCAGGTTTCTTTCTTACGTGCTTTGAAATATTCCCATCATCTGAACGGCCACCTTCACAAAGACAATGGCCACACGGCTGGAAGCAGCAGATGTTGAGGACATTTCCTGACGCAACCAGCAAGAGAGCACAGAGGGGCTGCGGCGAGCGGAAGAGGGGGTCCGGCACAGTGTCCCCCCAGGCTTGCTCAAGCCCAAGGATACTGCACCATCAGCCCCTCTCTTCACCTGCCCGGCAGCTTCCCCTCCTCCCCAGAGCCTGCAGGGAATGTAGACAGACCACCTGAGATGCTATGCTCGGTCACCCTTCACACACGCACTCCCAAGCACCCTGCTCTCCTAGGGGGCTGCCGTGACGTCAGAGAAAGGACAAGAGCTGCTCTCCCAGTCTCCCCACTGCAATTAAAGAGGCAGGTCTGTCCACAGACACCGGGGGCCACAGAGGGCTGCTGTCTCCCCCTCCGGGAGAAGGCTGGCCCGGGAGCTGCCGGCCTAGATGCCCAGGCCTCGCCCTCTTCTGCAAAACTTAAACTAGATCTTTTCTCCTCATTAGCACTAGAAAAGGCAACACAACAGACAAGCAAAGAAAGGCCCAGTCAAGGCTGGAGGCGGGGGCACCTTCGGGGCACCTCCAAGTCTGTGTTAAACACAGACGTTACAAACAGTCTCACCCGACCATCTGAACAAAACCAAGCTGCAAATCACTTGCCTCATTCCAATAACTGTGCTGTATAACAAAATCAAGCAGGAGGAAACCAGAGGCGAGACCTGCCCACAAGGCGGCCACTGTGCAGGCACCACCGCCCTCTGGTGGCGAGCGCAGGGACGCATGCGGAACACCCAGGCCAGCTGGTTAACCAGGCAGGACCTAAGGTGTCGGAGGAAAAACTGAACGCAACCCTATCAGGGCTAAACAAACCTGACCGGATTCAAGACGGAATCACATGTGAAACCATGTCCCACAGTCCTGCGTGAAGCACCACTTCCCTGCTGTCCCCAGGCCCTGAGGCCATGCCCTGGGGCCGTGCTTACCAGGGCCTGCAGCGTCCCGTCCATGGCGATGACACCCTCGAGGGTCTGGAAGGAGGAGCGGGCCAAGGTGCACAAGCTCCAGTCCAGGAAACCCGCCATCTTCTGCTGCTTGACGTCAGGGCGCGTGATAAACCTGCCAGAAGGAAATGGCAGAGTCACAGCCCCGTGGAGGCCTCCAACACCAAGATCCTCCCTCCCCAAGTCTCAGCAGCCCCTCGGCGCACATGCCCCTCGCCACGTCCTCCCCATTCCAAATACTGCGCACAGGCGTCTGTTCTCGCCAGACGCTCCCGCTCCAACCCAAGAAACGAAGTCACTGCCCGGAATGCGACCTCTGGGGTCACACAGGCCTCACGCACCGTCTCCTCCCTGGACCCAGCTGCACAGCCCTTACCCTCAGGACCTCACACCACACAGGCCTGTTTCTGCATCCCAGCCCCTCACGCAGAGCTCTGGCCAGCGTCCCACAGTCCTCCCTCCCTTCCTCCCTCCTGGACACGACCTCGGGCTCCTCTTGTGGCCTGGCCTCAGCTGACCACATAAAGCTCCCAAAACAAAAACCTGCGCCCTCTTCCTTCCTCCACCAGCAGCTCTGCCCACGTGACTTGAGACTGGCCTACCACGTAGAGACCAGGACAAGACCCCGCCCTCCCACAGCTAACACTCGGGGGAGAAACGGCAAACAATGGAGGAACCATCGGGGTGAGGGCAGGCGCAGGGGCAGCCTCCGAGGGCACACGCCAGGGAGGCTGCAAAACCCAGTGGGAAAGGTCTGCTGTCCAAGGTGGCAGCAAGATCCACAGCCCAGGGGCTAAAAGGTGCTCAGGGGACTGGAGGAAGACAAAGGAGACAGTGTGGCTGGGAGCAGACAGTGGAGGCAAGAGTGAGGTTGGCCAGGCTGTGCCAATGGGCCTCACATGCTTCCTGACTGCACTTCTGCAGGTAGGTGGGAGGGAGATGGGAGGCAAGTGGGGGGGAGGGCAGTGGGGAGCAGGTTCCTTGAGAATGATGGGCCCTCTCCCAAGAAGGGGTGGGGAGGGCCAGGCCCACTAGACAGCCTCAGGGAGCCGTCCCAGGCAGCCGCTACACAAGTCCAGAGCTCAAGAGAGATGCCAGAGCTGAGCTGCCAGGCTGAGACATCTCCCCTCACCCACCCCAGTCCTGAGAGCCAGGATGGGACGCCCTCCCCCCACCCACCCCAGTCATGACAGCCAGGATGGGATGCCCACCCTCCATGCTGCTCCCTGGCCATGGGCCCTCTTAGTCTGTCCACCTTGCACTCCTGTCTGGCCTGTCCAGCTGGGCCACATCAGAGCTGCTGCAGGCTCCATGGCACCAGCAAGCCCTCCCAGGGCACACACGCACAACTACGTTCCTGCATCAGGGCCCTCACATGACATTCCAAGAACTGAAAGTCTGCCAAGCTGAGATGGACGCCAGCAGCGGTCAACTTCCCATGAACAGTGAGGCCACCATTCACTTCATACACATCTGGGGAGGGCAAGGCATCAATGCCAGGAAACAAATCCCTATTTGCAAACGCTTCGGCTCCACTCCTGCTGGGCCTCACTGGGCCTCACACTTGTGCCAGGCTGTGGCTGACGAGGGGCAGCACTGGCAGGAACCTGCGCCCCACTAAGGCCCACAGCAAAGCCCTGTCACTGCTGGTGGAAGAGTCTACCGGCAAACTCCAGGGAACCTGGGGGCCGTGCAGGTAGAACAAGCCAAGGCTCTAAGAGTGCTCTTGCTGCTCCCGAACCGGGTGCAGGCCCAGAGATGCCACTCGGTCGCCAAGGGTTTGGTCAGACTTTAGGACACTGGTTACAAAGATAAGCTCATGTGCCCTCCCCAGGAAACTCAGCTTCAGTGGACCTGTGAAGGGGGCCCAGGGATTCCATTTAAAAGCTGCGCTCCAGGGCGACAGCCTGCACGTCTCAAGGGCATATGTACACTGTGCCCATTTCCCTGGCACCATTTCCAGTACCAAAGGGTTAAGGGCAGTGACCGATGCCACCTGACCCTCGGCCTGACTTCGAGTACCCCGTGCAGGTGCCACCCAGGTGAGGCGGCAGGGCGGGAACCCTGAACCATCTGGAGACAGAGCCACACCCCCACACACGCTTATACCCCCACACCGTCCCTCCCCTTCCCTCTGGAAAACTGCGCACCCTGAAACCCAGCTCAAACCTGCCTCCCCCGACACACACTGGCAGGTAGCACAGAGAGGCCCAGACGGTATACCCTGTGCACCCGAGGTACACCCTATGCACACATGGTGGTATAACCTGTGCACACGTGGTACACCCTATGCACACATAGTACACCCTGTGTGTGCACGGTACATCCTGTGCGCACACAATACACCCTGTGCACACGCAATATACCCTATGTACACATAGTACCCTGTGCACACACATCTCATTCAAGTCCATTCTCAACTGTAATCACACAAGGTGAGTTTCTAAATCAAGGTGGAAATCTAAGGTGCCTCAGAAAGATTTAAGCAAAGGGTTTATGTTATTTTTCTCACTGAAAATAGGAATACATGTTCATAGCTCAAAGTCCAAATATACAAATAAGCAAAAACGGAAAAATATCATAGATATACACATGCAAATTTACACAAACAGGATCATTCTACACATACTCTGCTTTTTGAACACTAAGCTTCTTTCTCTCTTTTTTTACTTTGTAGAGAAAAAGATCTCACTGTCTCTAAGGCTGGAGTGCAGTGGCGTCATCACAACCCACTGCAGCTTCAAACTCCTGGGCTCCAGTGATCCTCCTGCCTCAGCTTCCCCTCAAGTAGCTGACATTAAGCTTCTTTCTTTTTTAGGAGAAATTACTTTACAAGCTATATTTACTTGAAATATTGATCTCAGCTAACATTTACAAGTATGTTTAGAGTGCCCACTATCCTTATCTCATAAAGGTAGGCCCCACAATAGCTGTAAGAATGATCAATAAAACCTTGACTGTAGGACCAGACCTACCTCAGAGGGACAGGGGCCCCCAGATAAAACATTTGTGGGCTTCCAGTTTCAGGAAATATCAACATATGAGACAGGAGCTGCTCAGAACCCTAGTCACAACCATTATCACAATACCACAATCAAGCAACCTTAGGAACTTAATCTCAGAACAGCACAGGTACGTGACAAACCTATTCTTTGTGTGTGTTACAAATTAGCACAAAAGGGAAATATTCACAAATCGGTGCTATAACTAGCTAGCTTTGAGGGGTGTGGATAGCCATTGTATACCCTATACCAAAAGAAATTACAAATAAACTAATAATTCTGTGTTATAATAAAACGCAGCAAAAAATATAAAAAATGATTACTTACTTGTTAAATCTCTTAATAGACTTCAACCTTAAAAATAACTAAACAGTCCGGGCGTGATGGCTCACGCCTGTAATCCTAACTCTCTGGGAAGCCAAGGCGGGAGGATCACTCAAGGTCAGCAGGAGTTTGAAACCAGCTTGAGCAAGAGCAAGACCCCGTCTCTACTAAAAATAGAAAGAAGTTAATTGGCCAACTAAAAATATATAGAAAAAAATTAGCTGGGCATGGTGGCACGTGCCTGTAGTCCCAGCTACTCGGGAGGCTGAGGCAGGATGATGGCTTGAGCCCAGAAGTTGGAGGTTGCTGTGAGCTAGGCTGACGCCACAGCACTGTAGTCCAGGCAACAGAGCGAGACTCTGTCTCAAAAATAAATAAATAAATAAATAAACAAAAAGGGGAAAATGACCGTTTTGATATTAAAATTAAAACTTCACTTTCACTACAAAAGAGAAAGTAAAAGGCCAGCCACCATCCAGGGCATACAGCCCACCACCACCCTTCCGGCGCAGGAAACTCAAGCTGTGGCTCAGGAAAGGCACCCAGGAACACAGACACAAAGGACCAGGTCAAAGGCGGTTGTGACACCTCAAACAAGATAAAGTGGTAAAACTCACTGTCGATCCGTGGGATATCAACGATACATCTAATGAATGACACAGGCTCAACCCAACTTGGGTGGACTGCTCCTCAGGCCGTCCCCATGCTGCAGGGCCCTGCTGGGGAGCTGCAGGACCCCAACAACGCTCTCGTGTCCTGTGACCCGGGAAGCCCACCTCTGATGGCCAATCCTCAGGAGACAATCCCACCCCCAAAGCCGGGCACCACGGCACTGCTCACGGAGGAAGGACAAAGCTGACGCCAGTATGTGAAAATGGTGAAGGACAGTGGAGCCACAGCGTCTGTGGCCACGCGAAAGCGAGAGAAAACCAGTGACTACCTGCATGAGCCCGTGCTGCACATTCAACATACTGACAGCACAAAGGAAAAATACAGCTGGTAAACATGAGGAAAAAGGGATTTTCTACCATTTCAACAACCTTTCCAGTAATTGTATTTAAATTCCTAAAACAACAGTTCCACCTAGAGGAATTCATCAGTTTTATGCAGACTGTTGAAGACACTTAACGTTGACAACAAACTGGGAGGGCAGCAGCGTGCGCGTCCAGCTGGGGCTGGTGAGAGCGACACACTCACACCAGGCGGTCACACGGTGGAGGAAGACGACCACGGAGCTCCAGGCCGCAGACAGGAGGACATGGCAGTCACCCCACCGGACAAAAGCACACGGTTTTATTTTGTACTTCATACTTTATTTTCTAAAATACACATGATCACTTTTATAACTAGAAAGAAACCTATAATCTTTTTAAGTCCCGGAAAAAAGAGGAAGCAGCCTCTGCCTGGTGCATTTCTCCCTCTCGGACGGAGGGGCCTCACGTGCTCCAGGGACTCAGGGTTCCTTCCTCGATCCCCCTAAAACTCAGCTCCTCCCCTCCAGACCACGCCTCGCAGCCTCAGCCAATGCTCCCTGCCCTGCAAAGTCACACCTAAGCACCAGGAGACCCCCAACGAGGTGCAGACCATTCTCCCAATCAAAACCACCAAAAGGTTTTACAGCCAACTTTGCCAACGTAGATGGGGGAAATGCCAAGTTTTCTAATGCATTTAACTATACACAGATTCAGAACCACGTGTCATAAAATACTAATTTAGAAAACCTGCTTTCTTCCACGCTCCCATCTCATGAAACAGGCTGATTCAGCCCACACATGCATGTTGGTCACCTCTGGGACAACCCAGGCTGCCGTTCTGGTCATCTATCCAGCTCACCAGAGAAAACCATCGTCCCCAACTACAGCGCAGCCACTGTTCAGCTAGCACAGGATGCCAGGGGTTTCTATCTCCGGCCACACCACCCATCCACCACTCACAACCCCCACAGACCACAGCAAGAGCTGTTTCCAAGGAGACTTTCAAGGGCTCGACTGCTACTACCCCCAGGAGGCCAGGCCCAGGCAAGCCGGCCAGCACCCCCAGGCTCAGATGTCCCCTGTGCCAAACCAGTGCTGTGCACTCCCTCAAGGAAAGCGAGAGTCTGAGGAGCGCGAAGACTCCCCTGGGTCCTGCGTCTGAGGATAAGAAACTCACGTGACACACGACAGTACCAGAGACAAGCCCTCCCAAGATGCACCACTCCCGCATCAGCCAGCACAGCCACAGGAACTTACCTGGACACGAGGACGGCAGCTGCATCTCGGGCCTTGTCGCTGACAACCAAGTAGGACTACAAGAAAGCACAAAGGACAGGCAGCATCACGCCACAGAAGGAAGACCTCAGGGACCCCCCGCTCGGCCAGCCCCACACTCACTAGCTCCTGAGACCCGGGTGCATGAAGCTCACAAGCAGAAGCCAAATTCCAGAGCTGCACAAACCACTCAACCCAGAACCCACAACTGCAGCTACCAACTGCCACCCTCGGCCCAGTCAGTGCCTGATGCCCACAGAGCACACGGTCATAGTCCTTGACACACACATTCACAAGAATAACGCAGGAAAGTGGAACACAGAGCACCCCCTGACATGCCCAGGCACTTCCAGCACCTGTGGTCCACCAGCACTTTAACATTCAGACCAGCAAGGAGGCCCCATTCAAATGGAAGAGGACCTAGATTTAATGCAGATGCCTGGATGTTTTTAGGAGACCTGCCCTAAGAGGTTTCCAATTCCCATCTCTACTTTTGTTTTTCCAAATGGCACACTCAAGATGATCTTTTTTTCTAGGGCAGGCTTTCTGGAGGGCAATCACATATGGGGTGCCAAGTCTTTAGAAATCGTACCCCCAACTTGGCAATCCCACTTGGCAGGCAAGTAAACAACATAATGATGAAGAATGTAAACAGCTCTTCATCACCACATGGATGTGAACACAATGAAACTAGAAACAGAAGTCCATCTATAAAAGAATATTTTTAAAATTACAGTACCTGTTCCCTAAAATATTTACAATGGAGCATCTTTTCTCTCAAAGACTATGAGGGGACACTTACTGACATAACAGAACATTCGGGACAGTCTGCCCCTGGCCTTGTCCCAGGGGCAGTGCTGAGTGCTGACGGACAGCCCGGCTTCCAGAGCCAAGCGCCTGGCTCAGGTTTGGACGCACCACTGATGAGCCAAGCACCACCTACCTTCCTTATTTCTACCCACTGGGGCCTTAGTTAAATAGGGGTAAAAACTATTAACTACCTCATAAAGTAGAATCAAATGATCAATCTACGAATCACAGATTAACATGACTAATCATAGTAATCAACGATCTACAGATCTTCAATTTATAGATGAAATCTATAAATGACTGACGGAAGAATTAACCTATGAGTGCTCAAAACAGGGCCTGGCTCACAGCAGGCACTCAGTGAATGCTGACTGCTCTTGCGAGTGTGACAGGAGACTCTCCCCCCGGTGTTCACACCACACACAGAGCCGCCCCCGCCCCGGCCCCCCCGTGGTGTACACAGTGACTCGCTTCCAAACAGCAGATCTGGCAAAGGGGACAGAGCGTCACTTCCATCATCAGGCAACGTGGCACTGTGACTTCTGTTTCCCCAGCAGACTCTCTCCCTCGCTGGCTTCAACAAAATAAACTGCCCAGCTGGAGGCGCCCATGTGGCGAGGAATCCAACAGCCAGCAAAACACTGAGGTCCTCAGTCCAGCAGCTACCAGGAACTGATGTCTGCCAACTACCCTGAGAGCTAGGGCAGACCCTGCTGGAGTCCAGCTATGACTGCAGCTGTGGGCAGCCTCGAAGACGCCGCCCAGCTAAGCCACACGAGACCCTTGACACACAGAAACCACGGGAAGATACATGTGTGTTGTGGCCAACACTCAAGTTTGAGATAATTTTATGCAGCAACAGGTAACTAATACAATAAGCTATGCTTATTTGCATAATATTTGTATCAGGGAAAGTCTGAAGGAAATATAAAACTGTTATCTCCTGGCACTAAAATTTGACATATTTCAATTTAATATTTTTCTTGCTTATCCGTACTTTCGAATTTTTCTGCAATGATTGTTACAGTATATAATGTTTTACTAAGAACTAAATGTAAAATGAGTCATTTTCTCTTTCCATTGACCCTGAAACCTCTCACCTCTCACTAGTGTGCTTAACGGGATATTTGTGTTATCTACAAAGAAGTAAGATTTACTGAAATAATTCATCCTAACCCCTAATTATCACAATTCTAAAATTAGTTATGAAGTGGGATCTTACCCACTGAAAAACAGTAACAGCAGCTGAGAAACACCTGACTGCTGAAAGCTTAGCTAACTAAATGGTAATACCGAGACAGCATGAGCAGGGAAGAAGGCACTGACTAGCCACTCACCATGTGCATGGCCACACTCACCTCTGCTATTTGGAGAATGCGGTCCATGATGGGCATTCGTGTCTGCCCAGGTTGGGTAAGGAGATTCCCATCAAGGCGTGAAAGATCAAAAGGGATCAGGCAGGTCACAGACAGCCACAGTAAGAGCATGTAGCGGGTTTCCCAGGTCTAAGAAGATAAATCACACTGAGAATGATTCCTGCCTGGATGACACAGGGCATCTGCCAGACCCCAACACCCTGCAGGCCCTCAGATGCCATCAGGCTCAGGGCCAGGGATGCAAATCATCTGTCAGCTCCTCCCACGTCCCCCCACGTCCCCCAGGATCCCTACCATACACACCCACTGTCACCACTTAGCTGACAAAAGACACATCAAAGTGAACAAACAAAAACCCGTGATAGGCCGGGCATAATGGCTCACGCCTGTAATCCTAGCACTTTGGGAGGCCGAGGCGGGCGGATTGCTCAAGGTCAGGAGTTCGAAACCAACCTGAGCGAGACCCTGTCTCTACCAAAAATAGAAAGAAATTAATTGACCAACTAAAAATATAATAACAAAAAATTAGCTGGCATGGTGCCGCATGCTGTAGTCCCAGCTACTCGGGAGTGGAGGCAGTAGGATCGCTGAGCCCCGGAGATTGAGGTTGCTGTGAGCCAGGCTGACGCCACAGCACTCACTCTACCTGGGCAACAGTGACTCTGTCTCAAAAAAAAAAAAAAAACCTGGCTGAGCAGAGGGGACCCTTTCTCTACTAATAACAGATTAATAACAACTAAAAGTATAAAAATTAGCCGGCATGGTGCACATGTGAGTCGCCACCACTCAGGAGCTGAGCGCAGCTAGGACTTGGGTTTGAGCCGCAGGATCTTGAGGTTGCTGGGAGCTAGGCTACGCCATGGCACTTCTCAGCAGGGCAACGATATTGTTCAAAAAAAACAAAAAAAAGTGCATCACGTATCGGTCTCTTCACTAGCACCTTTCAACGTGCAAATCGGCCTTTTGAGAAAGTTAAAAAACAGAGTTAAGAAAAAAGCCTCAACTTCTAGTAATAGAGGAGGGCATGTGTTTTCAGTAACATAAAACAGCATCCCAATTGGCCTGCAGTCCTTCCACAGGGCACTGGACACTCTAACAAGAAGGGCATCGAGTACCAGACAGCAGGGAAGCACCCCCCCGTCTCCAATGCTGATCAGGCACATTCAAATCGAGACGACTCCAAGTCGTTAGTAACAAACTGTGTGCTCTTTTGAACGTGTACTGCACAGTAAAGAGCCTCGCTGCCGTTCTCAGAAAGGCTGCTAGCAAAGGGGGCCCTCGGCTGGCACCAAGGAACTCGGGTTTCGGCAGGGTTCCCACCAAGCCCTGACTGATGAGGGTGCCTCACTGGGCTTAGACTGGCTGCACAAATCGTGTGGTCCACCAAGCACCTGCTTTCCCTCTAGGATCTGGAATTCTGCTTCATGCCGGGCAGAGGTGTCCACGGGACCAGACCCCAGTAAAAGCCCTGGGCAATGGGTCCCACGCGTGCTTTCCTGGTGGACACTTCACATGTGCCGTCACAGCTCCTAGCTGGGGAGTCACACCCACCCTGGGAGGCTCCCCTGGGAGCCCCAGACAGTTATGCTTCTCAAGTTAGACAAAACACAGACAATGATAAATTTATCACCAAACTATACCTAGGCATACTTTTTCTTCACAAAGGGCATATTTGAAAAGAAAATAATTTGAAGCACTACGTGTAAGAAGTAAAGAGAAAGCCAAAGGAATAAAAGAGGAGGAGGGATGCAAAACAACGTGAGAGAAAACTGGGGGGACAGGAGGAAGAAAGCACCAGCACAGGTGTGGAACAAACAGGGAAGAAAGACGGGCTGGAGCGGAGAGAGGAAGCAGCACTCACCTCGTGGTCCTTGGGATCCTGGCCTGCAAACATATCTAAAACAGGCTCCACATCGGCTACTTCATGAGGAAATAAACGAAGAAATATTTTATATCCTCGAACCTACCAAATTAAGAGACAGTGAATTATTCCATAGTTGGAAAATGCAGGGAGTAGCAAAATTATCTTTTTCCACTCATTAAAAATCACCACCATTGGCCAAGCTTGGTGGCTCATGCCTATAATCCTAGCACTTTGGGAGGGCAAGGAGAGAAAATTGCTTGAGGCCTGGAGTTCAAGACCAGACTGAGCAACACAGCAAGACCTCGTCTCTATGGGGAAAAAATTAAGAATTAGCCAGGCGTGGTGGTACAAACCTGTAGTCCCAACTTGTCAGGAGGCCAAGAGAGGATGATGGCTTGAGCCCAGGGGTTTGAGGCTGCAGTGAGCTATGATAGCACCACCGCACTCCAGCCTAGGTGACAGAGCAAGACCCTGTCTCTTTAAGAAAAATCCCACCTATGCCACCCAATGGATCAAACAGAAGTATGTCATATTACAGTGATATAATTTATTTTTAATTTTTTTTTTTCTGTAGAGATGAGGGTCTCACTATTGTCCAGGCTGGTCTTGATCTCCTGGGCTCAAGCGATCCTCCCACCTCCTGCCTCCCAAAGTGCTGAAATTACAGGCATGAGCCGCCACCACCACCACGCCCAGCCCAGTGACACAATTTAGTAAGACGAAAGTAACTACAATAAAACTATCCTTGCTTCCTAAATCACTTGTTCATTAAATATGTTCTATCCTAATCTAACAAATCTTGTACGTGGCTCATCAAAAACATAGACATGTTACAAACTGCAAATATTTGGTCCTACATTGTTCATATGATTGTCCTCTGACATTTATGAGGAATAAGCACCCAAGAACCTCAAAGGTACCCAAATTCGCTAACACTTCCATAAGATGCAGTCACACCACACCTGCAGGAGGAACCCTACACGTGAACAACTAAGCTGCCGAGCAGCACACATGCTGGGCAGCCCGTCCACGGTATTCTCTCACTGACGAGGGCACTCCCCGCCACACATCACAAGTCCTGTGATTCGTCACCCCACAAGAACCACAAGACCCACCCTGAGTCACTCCCATGGTCAAAACTGCAAATAAGGCCCAGCCAGGCACAGTGGCTCATGCCTATAATCCCAGCACTCTGGGAGACCAAGGCAGGAGGATGGCTTGAGCTGAGGAGTTCAAGACCAGTCTGAGTATAAGCAAGAGCAAGACCCCGTCTCTACTAAAAATAGAAAAATTAGCTTGGGCGTGGTGGCAGGTGCCTATAGTTCCAGCTACCAGGGAGGCTGAGGTAGGAGGATAGCTTGAGCCCACGAGTTTGAGATTACAATAAGCTGTGATGCCACTGCACTCCAGCCTGGGTGACAGAGCAAGACCCTGTCTCAAATAAATAATAGATAAATAATTGCCAACAATAGGTTTGTGGGCCAGCACACAGACATCACCTGAACGCTTGTGAGAAAAATCCCACCCTAGACTGGCTTACCCAAAATGTGTAGTATAACAAGATTCCCCAGGAAATTCATCTGCATATTAAAGCTTGAGAAGCACTTCCATTTCCAAGTATTTTTGCTTTTTCCTTCAAGAAATTTTTCTGGTTAAGCCCTATCTCCTATCCCTTCCTACCCAGGTGGTGCTTCAGTCTATTCAAATGCAAGATACTCGATAACTTGGAGAATGCATCAGCCATAGGACCCCCAGGGATCACTAACATCTGATTCTGGATACATGGGAAAGAGAAAATGAAATCCACAACTTGTGTCTTAGAACCATCTTTCCTGAGAAATAACATTTTGGAGGGTAGCTTATGGACCAAGGATATCAAGAACATGTCTGTCAACTGTAAACTGCTACCTAATGTTACCTTGGTGATGATGTAAAGAAATTTAAAAGCCAGATGCATGAGGGCAGTTGGAGAGGTCTTATCTTGCACCATGTCCAACAACAAGTTCATCATCCATTCTAGGGAAAAAGACATATCAAACATTTACTATATGATTAAGCATCAATATGACATTGACTCAAACTACCAAAATAACTTACTTAGTAATGTAAGAACAATTCAATATTAGTAACACTGTCTACATATCAATTGAACAAGGGGAAAAAAGTTCATCTTAACAGTTTCTAAAAGTGCATACGTTTACACAACAATCACTGCCACTTTAAAAATGTACCCTTATCTTACTAACAAATTATTCTATCTCAAATCAATATCTAATACCATACTTTACAGAAGATATTGCTACAACTACTACGATTCAGCAATGATCTGGTTCTAAACCAACGTCATAAGACGGTAAAAGAAAGATCATTTCCACTTCCAGTTGCAAAGGAATAACTGATACAGAACCTGCCTCACCACCATCAACATTACTAAACTGAACAACTGTTTTCAGACACTGATCCCTAAAATAGGGTAACAAACCAACTACGTGCTACCACTGCCCGTGCTGTCTGCTAGAAGGTGGTTTCTGGCACTCAGTGCAGGAAGAGAGGATTCCAGCAGAGCACAGTAATTGTAAATTGAGAAGAGAGAGCCTGGAGTGCAAGGAGACTGAGGCAGCTGGAATTTGCAGGAAAAAGTACCAAAGAGGAGGAAGCTACGCAGAGAATGTGCTCCAGAGTCCGCAGAGAGGTCTCCGCATCTTTGGCGGAATCTCCACACATACAGGAATAGTGCATAAGGCTGGGCAGAACCACCAGGAAGCATTAAGGCAAATAGTTCCTGAAGCTCACATCGGCTGTCATTCAAATTCCATCAACCCAGAGTGCAGAGTTCTTGTTAAGCACCCCGGACAACCAGTCAATATTCCAGAAAGATCATCTCTTAGCAGTAAGGTTAAATGAGAGGAAAAGCCTAGACCTGCCCTAACAAAGCTTTAAAAGGACGGAAAGGAATAGCCAGGCTCAGTGGCCCACACCCACAGTCCCAGCTAGCTACTCAGGAGGCTGAGGCAGGAGACTCCCTTGAGCCCAGGAGTTCCGGATTGTAGTGTACCATGATCGTACCTGTAAATAGCCACTGTGCTCCAGCATGGGCAACACAAGGAAACCACCCTGTCTCTAAATAAATTTTTTAAAGGGCTGAAAGGTTATACATGATTTGCAAGTAGTTTAACTGCCTGCCAAACTTCAGCATGCTTTAAAGGAAGACCAAAAAACCAAACCATTCAATACCATAACAATTACAACGTCTGAGATCCATTCAAAAATTACTAGACATGTAACTGTCTAAAATTACTGTGGACCCTTACCAGGAGGAAAATCAGTCAACAAAAATGACCCAGAAATACAAAGGTGGTACAATTAGTAGATACAAACTTTAAAACAAATACCATAAATATTACAAATATACTCAAGGGTATCAAAGAAAATATGAATAAGGCACGATATGGAAGATATTAAAAGAAAAACTTCAAGGGCTGGAAAAAACAAGATCTGAAATGAAAATTTAACTCAATGGGATTAACAGTGGATTATACACTGAAGAAAAGATCCGTGAACTTGAAGACACAGTAATACAAGCTTCTATATTAAAGAGAAAAGAGTGCAACTGAAAAAACTAAACAAAGAACCAGGCATGGTGGCTCATGCTTGTAATCCCAGCTCTTTGGAAGGTCAAGGTAGGAGGATGGCTTGAGGCCAGAAGTTCAACACTAGCCTAAGCAACATAGTGAGTCCCCATTTCTACAAAAAAAAAAAAAAATTAGCCAGGCGTGGTGGCACACATCTATAATCCCAGGTACTCAGGAGGCTGAGGCAGGAGGATCACTTGAGCCCGAGAGTTGGAGGCTACAGTGAGCTATGATCGAGCCATTGCACTCCAGCCTGGGTGACAGAGCAATACCCTGTCTCCGAAAAATTAAAAAATTACCAAACTTTATTGAAAGACACAAAAGATTTGAATAATTGGAGACATAATACCATGTTTTTAGACAGGAAAATTAAATCTTGTGAAGACATCTCCCCTATATGAATTTGTGAATGAATTTAACAGAATTCCAAAGGGATTTGTTGCAGTGGGAAATAAAACAATTCTTAAATTCATCTGCATTAATAAAAGGGCTAAAAAAAAGTCAAGAAAATAAGAGGGTCAGATGCTACACAAATACATCATAAAACAACTGACATAAAACGGACAGAGAAAAAAGCTTACAAACAGATTCATGGGACAGGATGAAAAATCTAAAGACCAAGGCTAATATCTTTGAGTGTTTAATATAAATTTAAAATGGCATTTCAAGCAGGGGGAGAGGCTGCTGGATCACTCAATAAAAGAAGCTTACATAACTGATCAGAAAAAATACACTTTCTAAAGGCCAAACACAAAGAAAGAGACTAACAGCTTTGACAAGCTAAATATTTTTAAAGCTTCAGTAGATAAAATACACCACACATATTAAAAGGCAAAGGCAAAAGGCATGATATATATGCAACATATGACAAAAGACCAGAATCCGTGACTGTTGTTCCTTTTTCTAAAAGGGATCTGTTTTCCAGAAAATAATGAACTTAAATATCATCTGAAGCACTCTAAAAAGCTCACAGCAAGTGTTGTTATTCCACGATGCACTATGGAAGTAGGTCCAGTAAGAATAAAGGCGTTACTACAGGTCCAAGTCTATTACTTAAAGAGATGAAAACACCACCTTCCACCTCTTGAGCAGTGACCGTATCTGTTTCCTGGGGACCAGAACTTATACCTGGGAACCACCATGAGCCCAAGACCTACAACGAGACAAGGCCTAGGGCGCCCACTGCCCAGCATGCTAGCCCTTCTGCCAGACGTCAGAGCTTTTCCCAGTAGCTGGCTCTTTCCCAAGGACCTCCATCTTCAGGCCTCTCACCAGGACTACAAGTTTTTCCCAGGAAAAGGGACGACAAAGTTGATCACAATGAATTCTAGAATCCAGAATTTAGAGAATTTTTAAACCACATTTTTTTTTTGGAGACAGGGTCCCACTATCGCCCAGGCTGGAGTGTAGTATTTCGATCATAGCTGACTACAGCCTCGAACTCCTAGGCTCAAGCAATCCTCCTGCCTCGGCCTCCTGTAGCTGGGACTACAGGCAAGTGCCACCACACCAGGTTGAAACTACTTGTTTAACACAGCCCTTGAGAACTTGTAGATTTTCTCATCACTTTCAGGATGACACAGACATGATGCATGAGGGTCTGCAGTGGACTGTAGATTCAAATCTTGGCTGAACACTTACTAGCTGTGCAACCTGGGGCAAGTTTTTAACCTCTCAGAGCTGTGCTTCGGTTTCCTGATCCATAAAATGTGGTAATAACTGACTTTCCATGAGCATGGAGAGGCTACTGTGATAATTAAATTAACTGAGTTTTTTAAAAGAATCATTCAGAACAAAGCAAAAATTGTGAATATATATGAATGTACAATTCACAAAGGGAGAAACAATGTACAAATTTAATAATAAATGTGAACTATAGTTCACCCTCAGTAGGAAACATCAAAATGCAAAAAAGAAAAAAAATGTTATGCCTTTTCTACTGTTTAATAGACAAGCTTCTGTTGGTAAGGAATTCAAAAATTCAAATCCGTCTTGGCAAGCATATAAAGAAAGAGGCGGCTGGGTGCAGTGGTTCAAGCTGATAACCCCAGCACTTTGGGAGGATCATTTCAGGCCAGGAGTTTGAGACAAGCCTGGGCAACATAGCAAGACCCTGTCTCTACAAAAAATTTTTTAAAAAGAAGAAAGCTCACCTTCTACAAAAGCTGTTACTTGAAGAAAAAAACGCAACAGCATCCGCAGCACCAGCCCGCTTAAGAGGCATATGCGTGCACACTAAGAGCTAATTCTTTGCTCCTTACACACAGGTTCCAACACCTATGGGGCACACAGTGCTGATCGCTTATTTTACAGGTGTGGAAACTCGACACAGAGCAGCTCAACACCGAATGGGGGAGCTGGGATGTGAACCCGGGGGGTCTGGCCTCATGGCTCAAGCACCTCACGCCCACCCATGCTGCCTCTCAACTTAGTTAACATTGCTACCTTCCTCCTTTCCAAGTTCATTGCCAGGAGCATGTGTTATTTTTGTAGGTAGTATGAAATAAGTCAAAAATACAGAAAACAATGGGAGAAACCCAAAACTCAATCCCTTTGCAGCTAAGTAAGAAAACCAAGCCTCAGTGCATTCATCTGTAAAATGGAGACAACCTCAGACACACTCCTTAGCAGCTGTGAGGATTGGATGGTAACCCACGTAAAGCACTGATCCTGTGTGGCTACTAACAGAAAGACAACATGTGCCCAGATGTAAACAGATTAAAACACAAATGAGGAGCAAGTTGTGTCCTTTGAATAACAGAGAAGAAGAGAGCAGCTCACACACAACTGCCTACAGCCTGGGATGACCTCTGGAACTCAAGCTACTATCGCGGGCTTGACAACAACCGGCCAGGCCCTGCAAGCAAGTAAGACTCATGCTCTTCCTGGCACTTTATCCTGACACCTTCTGCTGGCAACACACACATGTGCTATTGTGTGCAAACACCAAGGCATTCATGATCATCTGTAATTGAACAATCACAATCATCAGCTTTTCTTCCTACCAAGGTGTGGGTCCAACAGGTGCGGCTGCTCCTGATACTTGTCCATTATTACTGAAAAGAAAAACATGAAAATTAGTTCTCTAAGCCAAACACATGTGAGCCTCAGAAACCCTCCTGTTTACCCTTGCTAACTTCTACGAGGCAGCTCCCAAGAGCACACCTCCCCTGTCGCTGACAGATGAACACCTGGGGGAGGGCGCCCCATCTCCCTCCAGCTTCCCCAGGGCCACTATGGCCTGGCCATGTCCTCTCTGCTTGTTCAGCACACCTTCCTCCTGACCTACTTCTCCCACTTCCTCTGCACCCTTCCTCCCTAGTGGGGTCCCTTCTTCCCCTCTTTCTTCACTCGCTCTCCGTGCCTCCACCTCCTGGGAAGAGCCACACTCAGGGCTCCTTTGTTATACACACATCCCTTCCACTCCTCTTGTGCTCCCCTGCCAACTCTTTGAATCCATGACCCTATAACCTCCTTGACCTCAGGCCAGCTGCTTTCTTCCCCTCCCAGCAGCTGAAACTGCTTCTGTGGAATCCAAGGACTCTGCCTGTGTGGTCCTCACCTGCCACACACCTCCACATCTCACCACTTCCCAGGAATGGGAAAATGGGCTTTCACTGGCCCCTGGATATGTAACTGGTTCCCTGAACGAAAATGCCTTTTTCTAATTCTCTTACATTTCAAGTTCCCAGGCCAACTAGGCTTGTTGACCAGAACTTTGTAATTTTGTTTCACTGCTCCCCTTCCTTTTGAGTTGGTTTTCAGAAACGGTGGACCCTCCTTGCAGTAAATAGATAATCAACAAGGCTTTACGCTACCGGATTGTTCAGAGAAGTCAAGGTAAGCCGCATTCCGCCACAAATCTTACCCAGGGACCAGCTGAGCAACCCACTCCCCACCACCGCATGTGCACAAGACCTAAATGATGACCAAGATTAACTCCTAGCTCATCATCCTAAAATCTCCACCCAGGGAGGGGATTATCCACCATTTTTCACCATGCAATGTATGTGCCAGTCTGATTTCTCACTGCCTTGCACTCCACCCAAAACACGTAATGATGCTCACTCGCTCCATGTTACTCATTTCACTTCTAGAGAAACGGTCGGTCCAGGAGGCAGAACTGAGGCAGTCCTCCCACCTCCGGATTGATGCGCTCTGCACTAGATCTCCTTTCTTCCTTGACAATTCTGCTTGTCTCAGTAACTGGCATCCTGTGCCCGGAGCAACACAGGGAACTCGCTTGGGGTCCCTTGGAGACACTCGCCTCGCCCAGCTCACGGCTCTGCAGGAGGCATCGTCACCGTTACCCGCAGCTCACGGCTGAAAACAGCTGAACTCAGGGCGAGCAACAAGGCCAAGCGACAGGGCCAGGATTCGAATCCAAGCCACCTCACGCCAAAGCCCGCCTCTCTCCTGAAATCAGAACGCTGTCATTTCAAACCCAGGAAGACAAAACTGCGGAGACGTCTTCAAAGGGTCCACAGAGACGGTTTTACTGAATTGCAAAACCCTGCCTAACTACCTAACCGCGGGGTCCTATGGAAACGTATGGGAATTATCCACGATAGGCACGTGCACAGGTCCGCGTAACCCTGAGAATTCAGACTCCCCAAGCGACCCAGCACGGCGGCCTCCGCCTCGCCGCCCGCAGAGGCACGGAGCTCCGGCGGCCAGCAGGCCTGCTCCCCGCTCCTCCCTTGCCCGGCCCGCCCGGAGCACCACACACGCGCCGGCCGCCCCAGCCGCGCACGCACCGCGGAACCGCTCCTCCGCCAGCTCCCGGGCCGCGCGGTCGCCGTGCACCTCCCGCAGGCGGCCGAGCAACGCGCGGGTCTCCGCGCTCTCCCCGAAGGCCTCCAGGCCGGCACCGCGGGCCAGCGCATCGTCTTCCGTTTCCTCGTCCGGGCCTCCAGTGGCCGGCGCGTCGCCCAGGGCCATCTCTGCAGCCCCCGCCTCACGGGCTCGCGGCTCCGGTTCGGCCGCCGGGACAAGGCGTGAGCGCTGAGGTAAGGGAAGCGCCCGCCCTGGTGGCAACCGACTCTGGCCCCGCCCCACGACCTCCGACCCCGCCCGCCGACCCGCTACGGAGCGCGCCAGCTGCCAAAATAGTCTGCGGAGGCGACGCGGGGCTCTGAAAGGCGCAGGCGTAAGTGGAGTCGGAGGACTTGGCAGGGCGTGCAGGAGGCATGGGCTAAACGGGCGGCGGTGGAACCGGAGCTACGGGCCCGGACGGGGTAGGGGCGGAGTCCGACCACGGGGCGGTGTAGGAGCACGCGGGCGGGGCCGAGCGCGGAGGCGGTATACCGGGAAGGGCGGGAGCCGAGCACGGGGGGCGGGAGCCGAGCACGGGGGGCGGGGCCCGGGAGGGGCGGGGCCGAGCATGGGGCGGGGCCTGGCGAGGTGTGGCTGAGCACGGGGAGGGGCTGGGAGGGACGAGGCTAAGCCGGTGGTGGGGGGTTCGGGAGGGGCAGGAGCCGAACAGGGGCGGGTCCGAGAGAGGCGGGGGCCGAGCATGTGGCGGGGACCCAGGAGAGCGGGGCCCGTGCAAGAGGGCGTGGCCTAGTGTGGCGGGGGTCAAGCACTAGATGGGGCAGGGAGGGGCGGGGCTGGGCACGTGGTGGGGCGGGCCCTAACACGGGGCCGGGCCTGAAGGGGCGGGCCGAGCACGTGAAGGGCTTCCGGAAGGGGCGGGGTCTGGGTGGACTGGGGTCCGGATGGGGCGGGGCCGGGTCCCCAGACCGACCCTTAAACGACGGCGGCTCTGACGGCAGCCGCGCGGGCCCAGGACACCCGGCCGGGGGCACATCCCCCTGCCCACCGGCCTGCCGCAGAAGCGAGGAGCAGGCAAGGGGCGCGGGGCCCTTCCTCGGCGGGGCGACCCCGAGCCCCAGCCAGCGGCCGCGCCCCGGCTCCGCCTGGGCACCCGCACCCGCGAGAACGTCCACGGCCCGTCGCGGCAGTGCCCGCCTCCACCCCGCGGCCTGCGGCGCGCAGCGACCCCGCAGGAGGCCTGGGCCGCGACTAGCCAGCTGCGTGGCGGGCGACGCGCCGGGACACACGGGCACGCGGGCCGGGCCTCTGGGGGCTTTATTAGTCCCGGAGCGCGGGGCGGGCGTGTGGGCGGGGCGGGCGGGCTTTGCGGGGCGCCGGCCGCTACTTGAGGAGCCGCCGCATGGTGCCCAGCGCCGGCTGCGGTAGCCGCGGCCGAAGTGGTTCCAGTGGTTCAGGTAGTTGAACAGCTGGTAGAGCAGCAGCCGCCGGTCGAAGCCCGGGGCCTTGGGGATCTTCCGGTGGTAGGCAGCGAAGAAGGCCCCGGGGAACCCCCCGAACATCGAGGCGATCGCCAGCTCGAACTCGGAGTGGCCGTAGAAGGAAGCAGGGTCGTACACGACGGGCCCCGCGTCATCCTCGGCCACGTTTCCCGACCACAGGTCCCCGTGGAGCAGCGCAGGCACGATCTCCAGGCCACGGAACAGGTCCGGGATCTTCCCCTGGGAAAGCAGCGGCGGCGCTCGGGTGCCAGCGCTCAGGGAGCTGCAGCCCCGGGCCCCTCGCTCGGAGACGGGCAGGGGCCACTCTGTGCCCAGCCCCCGGACCCCTCGCTCGGAGACAGGCAGGGGTCACTCTGTGCCCAGCCCCCGGACCCCTCGCTCGGAGACAGGCAGGGGTCACTCTGTGCCCAGCCCCCGGACCCCTCGCTTGGAGACAGGCAGGGCCACTCTGTGCCCAGTCCCCGGGCCCCTCGCTCGGAGACGGGCAGGGGTCACTCTGTGCCCGGACCCCTCGCTCGGAGACAGGCAGGGGTCACTCTGTGCCCAGCCCCCGGACCCCTCGCTTGGAGACAGGCAGGGCCACTCTGTGCCCAGCCCCCGGACCCCTCGCTCGGAGACGGGCAGGGGCCACTCTGTGCCCAGTCCCCGGACCCCATGCTCGTAGACGGGCACGGGCTACTCTGTGCCCAACCCCGGACCCCTCGCTCGGAGACGGGTAGGGGCCACTCTGTGCCCAGTCCCCGGACCCCTCGCTCGGAGACTGGCAGGGGCCACTTTGTGCCCAGTCCCCGGACCCCTCTCTAGGAGACGGGCAGGGGCCACTCTGTACCCAGTCCCCGGACCCCTGGCTCGGAGACTGGCAGGGGCCACTCTCCACCCAGCCCCATGATGAGGGCCACCCTGTGCCTAACTCGCTAATCACTGCTGATTTAGGTCCAGGGCTTTACAATGCTAATGATTTCCATACAGAAGACACCCCTAGAGGTTATGGTGTTGGTGTTCTGTAGAACATGAAGTCTTACAGCTATTAGGAAACTCTCCACCAGTCTTCTGTCTCACTGCAAGTATATCTCACCACCTCCCTCGTATCCTGCTGGTTATTTCATTAGTTAAATAAAAATTCTTTGATGCATGCTCAGTCTGGACTAATATGTGAGTTCTGTTTTTAACACTTTGAAAGTTGTGTTTTGACACCAGTCACTCTAGGGCATCTGATACCCACATCTTCACTCAGGGGTGGGACGTTAGTGTTTTGGCAGAGAAGGAGGAGCAGGGGTAAGAGTGGACAGTATTACCCATAACGAGAATAGGAGCAGTAAATGCCACCATTTACAAGCCAGGCACCCTGGTCTCCCATGAGGAAAGTTTGAGGTTAAACACCTGGTGACCCAGCGGGCAAGAGCCACGCTCAGGAGCCAGTGTGTCTTCAGCCTCCCTGTCAGGCCGGTGTCAGGCACTATGGTGTCCACTACCTAGCCAGCTCTGCTCCAGGGCCGGGTTCTACGAGAGGACCCCACCTGAATGTTGTGGGATCCTGAGATGACAGCCTCTTTCCCAGAGAAGGTGCTGCTGTGCCCACCTGTAGTCTGGACCACAGCTCTCGTGCCTCCCGGTCAGCATAGTCCTTCTCAATGAGGTCCAGCTGTGCCTGGAGCCGGTGCTGGGTGAAAAAGGTCGGCCAGTCTTCCTGCCACTCATTCACCTGGGCAACAAGGAGCCAAGGACGGTTATGCACGGAATCCGCCTAAACTCGAAGGGGAGGGGAACCTGCAGCCTCGGGCCACATGTGGCCTTCTGGATCCTTGAGTGCAACCTTTTGACCAAATCTAAATTTTACAGAACAAATCCTGTGATGTTTGGATTTGGTCAGGGGCCACATGTGGCCTTGAGGCTGCAGGTTCCCCACCCCTGCTAGAGCAACCACTAAAAGAACATAGCAGATATTATAGCTAGTGAGCCAACAAAGGAGATAAGACAGAATCACAAAATACTCAGTAAATCCAAAAGAAGGAAGGTAAAGAGGAAAAAAAGAACAAAGAGCAGATGGAGCAAACAGAAAACAAATCCCAGATGACAGAATCAAACCTAACTATCGATAAGCACATTAAAGGCAAATGGTCAAAAATAAATAGTCTAAAAAAAATAAATAAATAATAAATAAAATAAATCGTCTAGTTAAACGACAGAGATTGACGGGCTGGAAACATAAAACAAGACCAGCTATAAATCACGTGCAAAAAGGCACTTCATATATAAGAACAGAATTAGGCTAGAAGGATAGAAAAGATACATCATGATAATACTAGTCAAAGGACAGCTAGAGTGGCTATATTAACATCAGACAAAGCAGATTTCAGAGCAAAGAATATCAACTTCAAAGTCAATCAAAGTCATTCACAACAAAAAAGGGTCACTTGATGAAAAGAACATGATAACCCTAAATATTTACGCCTCTAATAACAGACCATCAAAATACATGAAAACAAACTAATTGAACTGCAGGAGAAATGGGTACTTCCAAAGCCTGCTATGGACTAAAATGAGCTACCCACACCCCTCCCCGACAATTCATATGTTGAAGCCCTAACCCCAACACCATTATTTTGCAGAGAGGGCTTTTAGAAGGTAATTAGGGTTAAATAAAGTCATAAGGGTGAATTCTTAATCCGATAGGATTAGTGACCTTATAAGAAGAAGAATAGAAAAGGATTTATTTCTCTCCCCACGCACACACAAAGAAGGACCCAGTCAAGGACACAGCAACAAAGTGGCTGACCATCTTGCAAGACAGGAAGTGCCTCTCCCCCTCCTCCGAAATCAAATGGGCCAGCACCTTGGGCTGGGACTTAACAGCCTCCAGAACTGTGAGAAATAAACTTCTCTTGTTTAAGCCACCCAGTTTATGGTATTTTGTATGGTAGCCCTAGCAAACTAAGACATAGCCAGAGATTTCAACCCCTTTCTCAATAGTTGATAGAACAAGTAGGCAGAAAACAGTAAGTTTACAGACAATTTCAACAACACTATCATCTAACTAGAACAGATGGACATTTATAGAACATTCCACCCAACAACAGCCATATATATATATTTTTTTTTTTTTCTTTTGAGACAGAGTCTCACTCTGTTGCCTGGGCTAGAGTGCCATGGTGTCAGCCTAGCTCACAGCAACCTCAAACTCCTTTGCTCAAGTAATCCTCCTGCCTCAGCCTCCCGAGTAGCTGGGGCTACAGGCACATATCCCATGCCCGGCTAATTTTTTCTATATATTTTTAGTTGTCCAGCTAATTTTTTTGTATTGTTAGTAGAGATGGGGTCTCGCTCTTGCTCAGGCTGGTCTCAAACTCCTGAGGTCAAATGATCCACTCACCTTGCCTTTTCAGAGTGCTAGGATTACAGGCATGAGCCACCATACCCGGCCCTTATATATATTCTTTCCAAGTGCACCTGGAGCATTTACCAAGATAGATCATAGCCTCAGCCATAAATCAAATCTCAATACATTGAAATGGATTTAAGTCATGAAAAGTATTCTATATTCTCTGACCACAATGGAATTCAAGTATAAACCAACAGAAAGATCTCCAGGAAATCCCCAAATATTTGAAAACTAAATACCCCTTCTAAAATCTATGTAAGGAAGACATTTAAAGGGAAATTAGAAAGTATTTTGAAATGAATGCAAATAAAAACACAATTTATAATTTTTGGGATGTGGCCAGGCATGGTTGCTCATCCCTGTAATAATCCCAGCACTCTGGGGGGCTGAGGCAGGAGGATCACTTGAGGCCAGGAGTTTGAGACCAGCCTGAGCAAGAGTGAGACCCAGTCTCTACAAAAAATAAAAAAGGCTACGCTGCAGGATACAAGATCAACATACAAAAGTCAATTTGTAAAAACTGTGTTTCTATGTATCTGCCACAAAAAAAAACCCTGAAATTTTAAATTTTTTTTTAAAAAATCACTTCAATAGCATCAAAAAATATAAAATAATTAGGAATAAAACTGACAAAAGATGTGAAAAGACCTGTCCACAGAAAACTTCAAAACATTGCTGAGAAAAATTAAAGAAGACCTAAATAAATGGAGATCAAGTCTGAATATTAGTAAGATGTCAATTCTCCCCAAATTGATGTATAAATTCAGTGCAATCCCAATAAAATCCCAGAATGCATTTTTTTGGTAGAAATTAACATGCTGATTCTAACATTCATGCAAAAATGGAAAGGCCCTAGAACAGCTTAAACAACTTTGAAGAAGAACAAATTTTGAGGACTAACCTATCCCAATTTCAAGACAATGTGATATTGGCATTAAGATAGACAAATGAATCAATGGGACAGAACTCAGGCCCAGGAGCATACTGACAGTATATATTAATAGACAATCACTTTTTGCCAAAGGCAGTCCAGTGGGAAGAACATAGTCTTTTTTTTGTTTTTGGAGACAGAGTCTCGCTTTGTTGCCCAGGCTAGAGTAAGTGCCGTGACATCGGCCTCGCTCACAGCAACCTCAAACTCCTGGACTTAAGCAATCCTGCTGCCTCAGCCTCCTGAGTAGCTGGGACTACAGGCATGCGCCACCATGCCTGGCTAATTTTTTCTATATATATTAGTCGGCCAATTAATTTCTTTCTATTTATAGTAGAGATGGGGTCTCACTCTTGCTCAGGCTGGTTTTGAACTCCTGACCTCGAGCAATCTGCCCGCCTCGACCTCCCAGAGTGCTGAGAGAACATAGTCTTTTCAGCAGACTGTGGAAGAAATTAGCTATCCATGCGTAAAAACCAAACTTCAATCTATACCTTGTAACACATACAAAAATTGACTTAAAATGGCTCACAGACAAAAATATAAAGACCCAAACCCTAACACTTCTAGAAGTAAACATAAGAGAAATCTGTGTGACCTCAGCTTAGGCAAATAAGAATGTCTACCTTATTCTTAGATATAATACCAAATCACAATTCATAAAAGAAAAATTGATAAACTGGACTCCATAAAAATTTAAAATTTCTGCTCTTTGAGAGACATCTTTAAGAGAAGAATAAACAAATAATAAACTAGGATAAATCATTTACAAATCACATCTCTGATAAAGGATTTATGTCTAAAATATATAAAGAACTCTAAAAAGCCAATAATAAGGAAAAAAACCTAGTCACAAACTGGACAAAATATTTGAACAGATGATTAACCGAAGAAGATACACAGTTGGGAAATGTGCACATCACGGAAATGCAAACTAGAACCTCAATGAGATACCACTTCCTACACACTAGGATGGCTATAACTTCAAAAAACAGACCGTGATCAAGTGCCGCCATGCATGCGGAGGAACTGGGACTCTCGTGCATTGCTGGCAGGAATGGAAAATGGTGCGACCACTTTGGAAAAGAGCTTGGCAGTTTCTTAACAAGTTAATTTGCTAACTTAATCTATGGGAAGAATTTTAAAATAAAAAAAAAAAATGAAAACAAGTTAAATATGGGGCTGGAACGCAGTGGCTCACACCTGTAATCCCAGCACTCTGAGAGGCCAAGGAGGGAGGATTGCTTGAGGCCAGGAGTTCAAGACCAGCCTGGGCAACATAGCAAGACCCCCGTCTCTACAAAAAATAAATAGAAAAATTAGCCAGGCATGGTGGCGCGTGCCTGTAATCCCAGCTACTTGGGAGGCTGAAGCAAGAGGATCACTTGAACCCAGGAGTTTGAGGCTGCAGTGAGCTATGATGACATCACTGCACTCTAGCTCAGGTAATAGAGGGAGACCTTGTCTCTAAAAACAAAAAGTTAAATATGAACCTAGCATATGACACAGTCATTCCCCTCCTAGGAATTTATCCAAGATAAATGGAAGCATTTGTCCACACAAAGCCTTGCACACAAAGGTCATAGCAGCTTTATTTGCAAAAGCAAAAACTGGAAACAACCCAGACGTCTATCAAGAGGCAAACAGATGAACAGACTGTGGTTTATCCACATAATCAAATGGGCTTTCGACACATAAAACATAACAGAGTATCATGGGTAAATAGCAAAGGATTTGGGGTGTGGATGAATTTCAGCATGACTACGCTGAGTGAAAGAAGCCAGACAAAAAAAGAGTACATATCGTGTGATTCACTTGTATTAAATTCCACAAAACGAAAGCTAATGCACAGTGACAGAAAGCAAATCGCTGGTTGCCCAGAGCCGGGAGGGGCAGGAGGAAGAGGTTACTGACAGGCACAAGGAACCTTCGGGAAATGACCAACATACTCGTTATCTTGCTTGGGGTAAGTGGTTCGTGGGTATAACACATGTTAAAACTTAGCAAACTGAACACTTAAGTGGGTGCAGTTTATGTCAATTACCGTGTTTCCCCGAAAATAAGACCTACCCATACAATAAGCCCTAGTAGGATTTCTAAGCATTTGCGCAAGAGAAGCCCCACCCCAAAATAAGACCTAGTGATGGGCGTGGCTACGCAGCGTATCTGCACAACCCGTGCATTTCGTCTGGGAGTGGTAAAGAAGACAAGCAGCCCTTCTCATCTGCCCCATGGTGACAGCTACTATCCCAGAGATGACCAGAAAGATTCGGGCATCCCCACCAACAAGGTCAGCTCCCCCTGTCAGGTCCCGGCCATCCTGTGCGTGCTGCAAGCTGAGGCTTTGAGGGGAAAATAACACATCCCCTGAAAGTAAGCCCTAGGGTGTCGTCTTGTGGAAAACTAAATATAAGACCCTGTCTTATTTTCGGGGAAACAGTACATATTTTTAGGACTGTCTACGAATACAATCATAAATATAAGACCCTGTCTTATTTTCGGGGAAACACCATATGTGTCAATGGAGAAAAATACAAAGCTTATTTTGCCAGACTCCTTTGGGAGGGATGTTCTGGAGAGCATGCCCCCCAGCGATGAGCAGAGCGACTTCCCTCGAGGGTCCTAACCACCGAGACTCTCCCTGTGCTTGGCGCTTGGCCCTGGGGCACCCCTGGTGCTGGGTGCACCTAGAGAGCTACACAGAAAGGCCCTGCGCATGGCAACTGCCGGCCCAGCACTGAGGTGCACCTGCCACGGCCCGTCACGTCCACTGCCCAGGCTCCCGGTGGCAGAGCTCTGTCCTCCTCCTGGAAGACGACTGGGTCATAAACGATGCAGATCGAGTGTTGGGAACAGGGACCAGCACTGTTAAACCTAGTCCCGGCGCCTGGACAGAGGGGCTGTGGTCCCCAAACCTTCCCCTGAGCTACCAAGGGCAGTGCCGCCTGGGGGTACAGCTGGTTCCGATGGCTGGGCCTCAAGTGACAGAGGAGCAGGGTGGGGCAATGGTTAGAGCCTACGCTCTGGAGCCAGACTGAGGGTCCCATCCTGGCCCTTCGCCTCCCAGATGCATGGTCTCTGGCGTTACGCGGCCTCTCTGTGCAGCAGTGTCCGCATCCATCAAATGGATCAATGACGTACCGCCTCATTACCCACCATCCTCACCCAGGTACTCACCTGTGGGATGAAGCCGCAGCACGTCACCGTGTGGAAGCCGAACTTGGACACATACTGGGGCTCAGTGTCCTCAGCCCTCCGTCCTGTCAACAGAGATCCTTGGCCTGAAAGAGCTGCTTGTCTTTCTCTTAAATGTCAGACCTCAGACAGCACCAGTACAGGCCTGGGCTGCACATGCTAGAATATGGGCGGTCCACAGCAGTGATTAGTCAGCATATGGATCCTCAAGGACACTCCTACCTCAAGCACACTGGACAGCAGGGCTGGGTATAAAAGAGGTTATTCCTACCTCAAGCACACTGGACAGCAGGGCTGGGTATAAAAGAGGTTATTCCTACCTCAAGCACACTGGACAGTAGGGCTGGGTATAAAAGAGGTTATCCCTACCTCAAGCACACTGGACAGCAGTGCTGGGCATAAAAGGGGTCATGCGCCAATTCTACTAGCTTATCAGCTCCATCAAAATTCTTATTTAATAACCTCATTTTCATAATGCAATGTAAAGGGAGATGGTTTGCAATTCAACCTATTATTGAAATGCCACAAAGAAGCACCAATCTAGGGTAGACAATGCAGCTGGGTCAAGGATGCACAAAAGCAACATCAACATACCCACTGTGTTCTCTTTCTCCTTCAACTTATCCCTGAGCTTCTGGTTATAAAGGTGCAAATCTGCCATCTGGTCTCCAAGTTTGGATGCCTGACTGAGGAAAGAAGAAATGCAGCCAATTAAAATAACAAGTAAGAAATAGTAACATCACCCAGTATGTTCTATTTTGAAAAAATGTTTTAAATACCTTAAAAACTATTCTCCATTCTTTGAAAAGTAAAAAGTAAACACCAGGCAATGACTCTTTCCAAGAAACAAAATTGTGTAAAATCACCAAGAGGGGTCAGGCAGGTGAGCTTCAGCAGAAGTCTTAGGTACTGAAAACTAAGAGGCCAATACCCTAAAAGTAATATTAGGTGAAAATCCAGCTCCCAGTTTTTATAAAAACTAATGTTGCCGGGCGTGGTGGCAACACCACCACGCCTGTAATCCTAGCACTCTGGGAGGCTGAGGCGCGCGGATTGCTCGAGGTCAGGAGTTCGAAACCACCCTGAGCAAGACCCCGTCTCTACTAAAAAACAGAAAGAAATTAATTGACCAACTAAAAAATATATATACAAAAAATTAGCCGGGCATGGTGGCGCATGCCTGTAGTCCCTTGGGACTTGGGAGGCAGAGGCAGGAGGATCACTTGAGCCCAGGAGTTTGAGGTTGCTGTGAGCTAGGCTGACGCCACAGCACTCACTCTAGCCTGGGCAACAAAGTGAGACTCTGTCTCAAAAAAAACACAACAAACAAACAAACAAAAAAACTAATGTAAATCACATATACAAAAAAGACCAAGATGATAAATCATATACCAAAATGTTAACAGTGGTCATCGTTACTAGTGGGTAGCTTTATGTCTTTACATGAATTTGTATTTTCCACACTTTATACACTGACTATGTATCACTAATAATTAGAAAAAAATGTAAGGACCTCAGATAATTAATATATCAGCCTCTTTCTGCCCAAAGGGAGCTGGCATCAATGCACTATGAAGCACAATGGAAATGATAAGTTCAAATGCACCAGCCAAACTAACTTAAAAAAAAAAAAGTCCTATACCAGAAAGCAGTAATTTTTTATCTCCATTAAAAATGGCAGGGTGGGGTTCTTGGCCCTGTCTCTGGTAGCTGGGAAGAGTTACCTGGGCAGCTCAGCAAGAGGCTGCTCCCTTTCTGTCCCTACCCCGTCTGTCTGTCTGTCTGTCTCTCTGTGTATGTGTGTGTCTGTATGTATATGTGTGTGTGTCCCTGTGTGTCCTTGTGTGTATGTGTATGTCTGTGTTCCTATGTATGTGTGTCCATGTGTGTGTCCATCTGTGTGTCCCTATTTGTGTGTCCCTGTGTCCCTGTGTCCCTGTGTGTCCCTATGTGTGTGTCCCTGTGTGTCCTTGTGTGTATGTGTGTGTTCCTATGTATGTGTCCATGTGTATGTCCCTATGTGTGTGTCCCTATGTGTGTGTTCATCTGTGTGTCCATCTGTGTGTCCCTATGTGTGTGTCCCTGTGTCCCTCTGTGTCCTTGTGTGTCCCTATGTGTGTGTCCCTGTGTGTCCTTGTGTGTATGTGTGTGTTCCTATGTATGTGTCCATGTGTATGTCCCTATGTGTGTCCCTATGTGTGTGTTCATCTGTGTGTCCCTGTGTGTGTCAATCTGTGTCCCTATGTGTGTGTCCCTATGTGTGTGTCCCTATGTGTAGGTATGTACCTTTGTGTGTGCCTATGTGTTTGTCCCTACGTTTGTCCCTATGTGTATGTGTATTCCTATGTGTGTCCCTGTGTGTGTCCCTATGTGTGTGTTCCTATGTGTGTGTCACTGTGTGTGTCCCTATTTGTGTGTCCCTATGTGTATGTGTGTATTCCTATGTGTATCCCTGTGTGTCACTGTGTGTCCCTACGTGTGTGTCCGTGTGAGTCCCTACGTGTGTCCCTATGTGTATGTGTGTATTGCTGTGTGTGTCCCCGTGTGCGCCCCCGTGTGCGTGTGTCGGTGTCCTCAAGCACACTCACCTGCTCAAGCTCCTCATCTTCAAATGCTCCATCACGAAGGCGGCCCCGCCCCCCGGCAGGTCGATCACCCTCAAGGGCCGCGGCGCGCGCACCACGCCGGTGCTCCGGAGCGCCTCCAGGCTGGCCAGCTCGCCCTCGAACATCTGCCGGGCCTGGGCGGGACGCGGCCGGGCCGTGAGCTCGTGCGAAGCACGAGGACTTCGAGCCGCGGAAACCGGCTGGGGAGCAGCCGCGCCCCCAGGGTGGGGTGCAAAGGGGCTCGGGACAGGGAGTTGCGAGAGTGAGGCGGAGCCTGGGGGGCCCCACCCCCATCTCTAACACATCCTCACGCGTACTCCAATTCTAAATCCCGAGAACTCTCACCGCAGGTGCAGCACACTTGCATCAGAGCATCGTTTATTGGAGCTGTCTGTAACGACCTGCAAGCTGTGCGGAATAAACTCCAGCACGGCCGGCCCCAGCAGGAGCCGCTCCGCTCCCCACCCCCCGGGAAGTGCGGGGGACCCAGGCTGCGCCCCGCACCCCTCGCCAGCCCGCGCCCGGGATCCACAGGGGCAGGGGGAGGACACCTGGCTCCGGCGCTTGGCCCCGGGGCCCGGCTGCCGCGCGGGAGTGGCGGGCAGGTGCCAGGGCCGCGCGCGAAGCCCGAGCCAGAAACCGCTGCCCGGGCCGGGTCTGCCTCGTTCCACCTGCGAGGAGGACCCAGGCCCCGGCCTCACCCCCGCTCCCGCCCGGGCTCGATGGGTAGAAAAATTGAAACCATCCAAAAGGCCGTGCGCGGAGGCCGAAGGGCGGAAGCTAACGGTGCAGCGAGGACGAGGCCTCGGGCCCCCCAGGGAAGGCCCGGGCACCGCCGAGCCTGCAGGCGACAGCGCCCCTCGCCGGCCCAGCGCGGGGACCCAGCAGAGGCCGCGCCGCCCGGGTCCGCACCTGCGCCCTGCGGTTGACCTTGACGAACACGGGGCCCGCGTCCGTGTCGTAGGCGCGGCCCTCGCTGATGCAGCCGCCGCCCGGGCTGCCGAAGGCCCGCAGGGTCGCGGTGCGCAGCTCGGTGCGCAGCAGCTGCTCCATGGGGACGCGGGGACGCGCAGCGACTCGCCGCTGGAGGAGGGGCCGCCCAGCTCCGCGCGCTCACCCGACTCCCCGCACCGCTACCCCGCACTCCCCGCCCGCGCTCCTCCCTCTCCTCCCCATCCCGCGCTCCCTGCCCCGCGCTCCTCCCTCCCCAGCCGGCACTCCCCGCCCGAGCTCCGCCCCTGCCTTGGCCTCCACGCTCAGCGCCCTCACCCGCTCCTTCACCCCCACCCTGCACTCCTCGCCCCGTGCTCCCCAGGGGGGCCTCCTGCCGGCTCCCACCCAGCAGGACACCGGCCAGGCTCAGCGAGACCGAGACCGGGGCTGTCCCTGGGACGAGGGCGCAGGCCTCAGGCCGGCTGGGTTCGCACACTGTCCATACAGGGCGGCGCCCTGGCCAGGCCCCAGGGGACCAGGCGCCCTCGCTGATAGCAGCTGCTGGGGCTCAGTGATTAGAGACACACTGGGAAGGGCGCTTCAAGGCACACTTGCCCATGTGCACACAGGTAATCCAAAGTGAGTCACCACCACCTCCCTCCCCTCCTCATTAACCCATGATGATGCCCCTGCCCAGCTCTGTGATGCCTGTTTATTCAGCCTCAGTGAGCTTCATTTACAAAATAAGGGCCTAGGAAGAGAGATTTGGGGCTGATGATACCATTTATTGGAGCTTTTACAATGCTGGGCCCAAGTGAAGTCAGCTAAGCCTCACCACCATCCTGTGAGGGGCCTGCCCCAGCTCCCGCCTTGCAGATAAGGAAACTGAGGCACAGAGAGATTAACTTGCCCAAGGTGCCAGTGCCAGAAGGTGGCCCAGGGGCTTTGAAAGTGTATCTTTCTGGCAGGGCGAGGTGGCTCACGCCTGTAATCCTAGTTCTCTGGGAGGCTGAGGCAGGAGGATTGCTCAAGGTCAGGAGTTTGAGACCAGCCTGAGCAAGAGTGAGACCCTGTCTCTACTAAAAATAGAAAGAAATTAATTGCCCAACTAAAGATATATAGAAAAAATTAGCCGGGACTGGTGGTGCATGCCTGTAGTCCCAGCTACTCGGGAGGCTGAGGCAGGAGGATCACTTGAGCCCAGGAGTTTGAGGTTGCTGTGAGCGAGGCTGACACCAGGGCCCTCTAGCCTGGGCAACACAGTGAGATTCTGTCTCAAAAAGAAAAGAAAAAAAGAAAAAGAAAAGAGGCCGGGGCGAGGTGGCTCATGCCTATAATCCTAGCACTCTGGGAGGCCGAGGCGGGCGGATTGCTCAAGGTCAGGAGTTCAAAACCAGCCTGAGCAAGAGCGAGACCCCGTCTCTAAATAGAAAGAAATTAATTGGCCAACTAATATATATAGAAAAATTAGCTGGGCATGGTGGCACATGTCTGTAGTCCCAGCTATTCTGGAGGCTGAGGCAGGAGGATCGCTTGAGCCCAGGAGTTTGAGGTTGCTGTGAGCTAGGCTGACGCCACGGCACTCACCCTAGCCTGGGCAACAAAGCGAGACTCTGTCTCAAAAAAAAAGAGAAAGTCTATCTTTCTGCCTCCAGATCCCACAAGTCTCCAAAGGCAGATGACTGGCTACAGGGTCCCCAGAAGGTCCCAGGGCAGGGCAGGGCTGGCCCCTGCTGTCTCAAGACGTCCCGGCAACTGCTCCCCGAGCCGGGCCCTGGGCTTCGACATCCAGGCAGCCAGGGATGCTGATGGATGGTCCTATTCCTGGGACAGGAGGCCACCCCCACCATGTTCCCTGTGGGGTTTTCCTTCTGGGCCTCCCAGCTGCCAGGCTTGCAGCTCTTATCCTCCATAAGGTACCCACTTAGGTTAGAGACATGTCTTCTAAGAGGTAGGCAGCCGGTGGAGAGATAGAGCCAAACACACTTTGGTCAGACCACCATCTGTGTGAGGTTTTCATTGAGCAAGTGGATTTTCTGCAGCCCCAACTATCGCCTTTGCCCAGAGTCTCAGGGTTCCTGCTAAGACAGTAGCCGGATTCAGAGAGGCAAAGCCTCTGGGGCTGGTGTCCCTGCTGCCTGCTGGCCTGCCCTTCTGGGCTGGGGTCATGTGGCACCTTGGCTGAAATGACTGGAGCCTGGGTTCTGCAGTCGCTGTCAAGCAGACACCACCACAGCCTCTCAGTGTCGCGGGCATGGAGGCCCGGCTCCCAGAGGGAACCCCCCGGGAGAGGGAACCCCCCGGGAGAGGGAACCCCCCGGGAGAGGGTTCCAGGAGAACTGGCCTCAGAATCCAAGTGCACCACTTCCACCCCCTCCTGCTGGTTCTGAGTCTCCGAGGCCACAGTTGCTGGCAGGGGCTTAGCACCCACCTCTGGTCAGGGAGCAGCAAGGCTCCACCCACAGCAGGAGGTGCGGGAGGTTGCTGTGGCCGTTGGCCAGCAGGGCTCTGCCACTCCCTTGCTTTCCCTCCAAGCGGGAAGCCCTGCCACTGCCTCTAGAGAAAGGATTCAGGACAGGGCAGTGAGCCCTCCTGCACCTGTAAATGTCTTCATTCTTGGTTGGCAGTTCGGCTGGCTACGGAAGTCCACGTTGGGATCAGATCGCACGCTCTCAGAGCTGCTCCAGCTTCGATGTTGAGAAGTTTGAGGCCATTTTGATGCTTATTCTTTGTGTGGAAACTCTTCTCTGTGTCACCAGTGTTTGAAATTCCCCAGGGAAGTGCTGGGTGAGTCTCCCGTCATCCTCTGGACAGGACTGGTGGGTCATTTTAGGATGGAAACCTGGGTCCTCCAATCCTGGGACATTGTCTTTGGTTCTTCTTTTTTTTTCACCCTTTTTGATGAATAAAGGTTCCTCACTTCTTTTTTTTTTGAGACAGAGTCTCGCTTTGTTGCCCAGGCTAGAGTGAGTGCCGTGGCGTCAGCCTAGCTCACAGCAACCTCAAACCCCTGGGCTCAAGCAATCCTACTGCCTCAGCCTCCCGAGTAGCTGGGACTACAGGTGTGTGCCACCATGCCCGGCTAATTTTTTCTATATACATTTTAGTTGGCCAATTAATTTCTTTCTATTTATAGTAGAGACGGGGCCTCGCTCTTGCTCAGGGTGGTTTCGAACTCCTGACCTTGAGCAATCCGCCCGGCCTCCCAGAGTGCTAGGATTACAGGCGTGAGCCACTGCGCCTGGCCTGTCTTTGGTTCTTGACCATTTCCTTGCTGTTTTCTGCTCTGTCTTTTGGAATTCCAGCTCTTTGGTCTAGAGTTGGTTTTCTCTGAGCTCTTCCCGCAGCCCCTTGTAACTTTCCTCCCGCATCCCAAAGGCCACACAGAGAACCCCATGGCTGCTCAGGTCATTCAGTGATAACAGGTGCACGAAGAAATCCTGCAGGCACCAGGATAGGAAGGCCTTTGCTTTGGGAGCTAACAGGAGCCATTGAAGATTCAGGCGCAGGACAGTGAAGTGATCCTAAGCTTCTTAAAAGATTAGTAAATTTTATGGCGTGGAAATGATAACACTTTTTAAAAATCTGTATCTTAGATGATTTGGGGTGCAGTGTAATGGCAAACTGGAGGGGAAACCCAGGAGGCAGGAGAGGGCTGGAGGTTTTCATGTGAGAAGGAAAGCTGGGTGGCGAGAGGGGGGAGGCCCAGGAGCCCCTCAGGAGGGGCTAGGACCGGTGCTGAGGGACAGGGAGGAGCAGGGCCGTTTGGGCAACATATTCCACCGAGGGCTGTGCCCAGTTTTTGCCGCTTCTCTTTCACACCCACCTGCTGCCCTACACTCCTCTCTACCTGGGGGCTGCCTGTGCCACTCTGTTAGCAAGCTGGCCTGCTTGGGTTTGGCCAGAGGGGAGCCCGAGAGGAGAAGGGAAGAAGGGAGGAAGGCACGGTTAGGGCATTTGTTCCCTGACATCCTGCCAGCAAGGTCACCTTGGGTTTTGTCACGAACGGGGACACACCTCAGGACTGAGTGGCCACGGCCCTGGGAACTGGGCACCGCACTGCTCCCGTGGTTTCCTCCCACTCTGCCCACGGCTTTGCCAAGCCCTCCTCAAACTGTTCCCCGTGCCGGGCCCTGGACTACGACATCCAGGCAGCCGTGGATGATGATGGATGGTCCTGTTCCTGGGACAGGAATGGGCTGGAAGGGAAGGGTCTTCTATTTAAGAAGATAGAAAAGCATGTGGTTTAGGTGCACTTTCATTAAAAGGATGCAAAATATTAATAAAACATTTTGGGGTGGAAGGCTGGATTTCAGTTACGCGAAGACTCACTTCTGTGGAAAAGGTTGACACCCTAACACTGTTAGATAATGAGGGGTTTTGATATAATATTCCCAATTTCAGTAAGAAATAGCAAGTAAAGCTCCCCTACCCCCGAGATCCCAGAGATGAGAACTGAGGGCCTCAAGGGAGCTGAGGGCAGCGGCCACTTCCCTGGACGTCTGCCCGAGGCTTCCCAGCAAGGCTCACAGCTGCCCCCAAGGGAATGAACCTCCTCCAGGTCCTGCCTTGGCCAAGGAGCCTCTGAGCTGTGTCCAGAGCCACGTCTGCCCGTTATTTCGGACGTTACGCCGCCCTGTGAGCACCGGAGGCTGCGGTCAGGACGCGGCACACACGACCCGTGACACTGAGCCTCCCCCAGGTCCTCCAGCTCAGCTGCCCAGAAAGCAGCGCCATCTCACGCTGGGAAGCGCGGTGACGTGTGCGGTCTTTCACGTGACAGAATAATCTACAAAATCAACTGAGTAGACCCAGGAGCCTTGGACCTGAAGCTTATTCGATTTTGGCAACCTTTATGAAAAAAATGTACACATCATATATAAAAAAATATGTATGATGATGAGTATAAAATTAGGCACACAAAAATCGATATTTTAAAAGGAGCGATTGCAAAGTTTGAAAAGCTGGCCAACGCCACAGTAGTATTTGTCAGCTCAGTGCCTGGCACACGTTTGTGGCACTTCCCTACGTGTCTGTGTCGGCCGCTCTCTGGAGGCCTCTCCTACACGCAGCGCTGCAGTGCTGTCTGGGAAGAGAAGGCCTTCTCTGCTGGAAGACTGAAACGTCCTTCCTGCTAGTGTTTCGGGAAAGCTTTGGCCTTGGCTCTCATCACCACAGTGTGCTGACACAGAATGGCACCCAGGGCCCCGAACGTCCCACAGAATCGTGGGGACCATCCTGGGGCAGTGACGGCCATTCTTGTGGCTGGCACAGCCCCCTAGAGGCCACCCTTTCTCAGTTTCTCAGGCAGTGACCAACCACCAGGGAGGCTGCCTCCCGCCCTCCGGACTGTGAGCAACTCGGTCGGGAGCTGAAAGGCCTGTGCCTCACCTGTGACTTGTGGCTCCCGACACTGGCCCCAGCCTTTGCCTAGTCGAAGCTACAGGGTTCTAAGCGCTGATGACTCTTGTGAAATACAGAAAGATGAAATGGAGACTCTTCTTTAAGATCCTCTAAGGCTGAGCAAATACACGCTCCATCCACTGTGTTCTGGCCCGACCGCCACACTGCTCCTACATGACTAACCACAGAGGATAAGAAGGACCCTGGGCTGTGCTTCTCAAATGGTTTTGGTTGTAGAATAATTATCTCTGGGCCGGGCGCAGTGGCTCACACCTGTAATCCTAGCACTCTGGGAGGCCGAGGCAGGAGGATTGCTCAAGGTCAGGAGTTCGAGACCAGCCTGAACAAGAGTGAGACCCCTGTCTCTACTAAAAATAGAAAGAAATTAATTGGCCAACTAAAAATATATAGAAAAAATTAGCCGGGACTGGTGGCACATGCCTGTAGTCCCAGCTACTCAGGAGGCTGAGGCAGGAGGATCGCTTGAGCCCAGGAGTTTGAGGTTGCGGTGGGCTAAGCTGATGAACAGCACTCTAGCCCAGGCAACAGAAGTGAGACTCTGTCTCAAAGAAAGAAAAAAAAAAAAAGAAGAATTACCTCTTCAGAAGACCCGGGTCTGGCAGCACCAAAACCGAAACCACCCTGGAAACCAGGTTTGTGTTGCTTGGTAAAGCACCGTCTGGCGGGAGTGAGGCAGCACACATTCCCTTGTCAGGAAGCTGTTTCAGTTATCAGTTTCCCCAGGGTCAGGGTAAACCACCTAAACTCCCGGCAAATGACAGTCTGGGAATCGCAAGGTTTGAAACGCCAGCAACTCACAGTCCTCTCTCCCCCACCCCACAAAAACTAGGGCTCTACGGGAACTCAGTTCTGCCTCTGAATTCTGTGACCTGGAACACAGAGACAGCAAGCAAACAAGAAAAAAACTCCAGCCTCTTCAATCTAGCTCAGGGTCACTCCTGGGTGTCCCTCAAACACGGGTGTTTTCCAAGCCTGGAGACAGACCCGGCATGGTCACCGGTGGGCGTCTTCCCCCAAACATAATTCTGCAGCTACTTTCATCCTCCCCTTAATGTCTTCCAGATCTCATGGGGTGAATGAAATTGCCATTTAAACTGCTCCTCTAGTCAAGTATTACAAACAGTTTTAGGTTTTGAACTTCTCCTATTTTGAAACTATGTGCTAGTCTCTTATTTGAACAAAAAGATAAATACTGCTCTTTTAGGGAACAATAATTGTACTTATCTTTTGTCACAATATGTCACTAAGGTTTCCCAGCAAACAACAGATAAACAATGAGTTACAATAAATGAGGGAAATATACAGTCTCATGCATTATTGAAACCACTCAAAGTTTATTCAAATTTTTATGCAAAAGGATATATTAGCCTCAATGCCATTCAAGAAATATTTCTCATCACTGCAATACTGAGGGAGGGAAGATATCAGTGTATTTCGTATGTTGCGAAGGAATGACAACTGAGCAAGCTTTAGAAAGAGCACAGGAGATGGGGCCGCAACAGGGGCGATCGAGGCTCCTGAATTTACCCGAGCGAGGACACCGCAGGCTGTCATCTTGGTCCCTCCAGGATTGGTTCACAGCCTGCTCAGCCTGTGGCAGGGGCCAGAGGTAACGCAGAGAGAAGAGGGAACATGCTCAAGTTTAGAACTGGTCATCACAGAAGCTTCCAGCGAGGTGGTTTCACGTCCAGACCCAAGTCCCTCCCAGCAGGCAGGTCACTGGGCACAGCTCAGAGTCTTTCCTGCACACAAGAGTGGGCGGGATGCGGAAAGGTGTCCTTAGAGCCCAGGCACCAGACACCCTGCCCCACCCGTGACATCACTCACGGTGCTCCGCCTCTGGAGCAGCTGCGTGGCTGGATGCCACCCATACTTCCAGGCTCTCTGTTCATACCCTGCCGGCTGCAGCTCTAGCTTGCTGCGAAGTCTGACAAAGTGAGCAACTTTAGGACGACAAAACCTTTCCTCTGGGGTGTTACACACTTCACACGGCTTGGGAATAAGCAGCCGTGTTGGTCTTAGGCTACTCCAGCCACGTGAAGAGCCTGTGGAGGCACGGGAAGGCCGCTGGGCGCCCTCGGTAGCACCTGATCTCGGGGCCCAGCGCCCTCCTCGGAGAGAGGCCTCCCTCCAGCGAAGGCAGCTCATCTGATGAGATTCCTCATGACGTTCAGGGAGGATCCTCGATACCCTGACCCGAAATGGTTCCAGTGGTTCAAGTAGTGGAAGAGCTGATACAGCTGCAGGCGCTTCTCAAACCCTGGGGCCTTGGGGATCTTGCTGTGGTAGGCGCTGTAAAAGGAGCTGCTGAAGCCCCCAAACATGCCGGCTATGGCCAGCTCGTACTCTGAGTGGCCGTAGAATGAGGCTGGATCAAAAATGATAGGCCCAGAGGAGTCTTCCGCGACATTTCCTCCCCAGAGGTCTCCGTGGAGTAAGGCTGGGACGATCTCCAGGCCCTGGAACAGGTCAGGGATCTTCAACTGCAGGGAGGAAAGTGGGCCTTAGCAAAGTGACCAATGCGTGCTGAGGGACACAGACGTTGCCCCCAAGCCCCAAGTGCTGCACCACGATCTGGCAGCAGCACTGCCCTGACACCCAGGCTCAGGCATGGCAGATGCGACCCTGCTCGCCGTCCAGAACAGACTGGGAGGTGGCACCTGTCCTGGCCCCCCGCCCCTGCCCCAAGTGGGACATGCTGTAGGCGCTGGGCATGTGGGGGCCTGGCTCACCTGCAGAGCAGACCAAAGCTCAAGGGCCTCCCTGTCCCCAGACCCCTTCTCCACCATGTCCATCTGGGGCTGGATGCGCTGCTGGGCGTAGAACGCAACCCAGTCCTGTTGCCAGTCGTTCACCTGCACAGGCGACAGCAAAGGAGGAGGCAGAGCTGGCTGGGAAACACCAGAACCGAAAAGGGCTCAAATGCCAAAGAGTCCCAAAGTGGAAAGAGCAGCAGGGACAGTGTGTGGAAGAGCTGGTGGTCACAGGGCTGCAGGGTCTCACAGACACGCCGAGACCCAGACCCGAGCCCAGGCATCCTCAAACTACGGCCCTCGGGCCACATGCAGGTGCTTTTGCCCATTTGTTTTTTTACTTCAAAATAAGATATGTGCAGTGTGCATAGGAATTTGTTCATAGTTTGTTTTTGTTTTTGTTTTTTTTTGAGACAGAGTCTCGCTTTGTTGCCCAGGCTAGAGTGAGTGCCATGGCGTCAGCCTAAGTCACAGCAACCTCGAACTCCTGGCTCAAGCAATCTCCTGCCTCAGCCTCCCAAGTAGCTGGACTACAGGCACGCACCACCATGCCGGGCTAATTTTCTATATATTATATTAGTTGGCAATTAATTCTTTCTATTATAGTAGAGACGGGGTCTCACTCTTGCTCAGACTGGTTTTGAATCCTGACCTCGAAGCAATCCGCCCGCCTGGCCTCCCAGAATGCTAGGATTACAGGCGTGAGCCACCCCGACCGGCCTTTTTTTTTTTGAGACAGAGTCTTGCTTTGTTGCCCAGGCTAGAGTGAGTGCCGTGGCATCAGCCTAGCTCACGGCAACCTCAAACTCCTGGGCTCAAGTGATCCTCCTGCCTCAGCCTCCCGAATAGCTGGGACTATAGGCATGCGCCACCATGCCGAGCTAATTTTTTCTATATATATATTAGTTGGCCAATTAGTTTTCTTTCTATTTATAGTAGAGACGAGGTCTCGCTCTTGCTCAGGCTGGTTTTGAAATCCTGACCTTGAGCAATCTTTCCACCTCGGCCTCCCAGAGTGCTAGGATTACAGGCGTGAGCCACCGCGTCCGGCTGTTTATAGTTTTTTTAAAACTATAGTGTGGCCCTCCAATGGTCTGAGGGACAGTGAACTGGCCCCCTGTTTAAAAAGTTTGAGGACCCCTGTGGGAGGCAAGGGTGCGTTCCAGGACAACTCTGTGGAAGGAAGAATTCTGGGACATTTTCATTTGATTTATACTCACGTGAGAGCACAGAGGTCGGAGCCAGCTGACCTTCCCTGACCTCATGGTTCATTTCTGACCACCTGCTCGGCCACAAACAGCCCTCTCCAGAGATGATGATGTGAGACTCATGTTGAGCCCGGAGAGAGGATGTCCAGGGCACAGGTGTGCACCATCCCAGAGGGATGCGAGACAGAATAGCACACGGAGCAAGCAGGAAGTGATGCCAGAAAAGAGTATCACACATACACATGCACACACGTGCACACATACATGCATGCACACACACATATGTGCACACAAACAGGCACACGATGAGTACAGGCAGGAGAAGGGGTGGAGCTGGCCGAAACAGCCCCTGGAGCAGGCAGGACAAGAGAGTGCCACTCATGGCCCCCAGGCAGGTTTCTGGACAACCTCCTACAACATTGCAAAATCTGAACAGTGCCGACTGCCCCATGCCCACCAGGAAACCCCTGAAACTTTTCTGGATTTGTCAGTACCCCTCCCAGGGAGCTGGGCTGCTTTCCTGAGAGCAGAGCTGCCACCTGCCCAAGCCACACTTGCTGGGCATCAAGCAGATGCCCCGGGCCAAAATTCCCAGGGTAGCCAACCATAAAATCATAAAACTGAAAGTTACAATCCTTCGTCATTATTCTACCTTTCACAGTTTAGTATATTTAAAAGAAAACTCTTTTAAATTTTCTAGTATTTACCTACCTTGAAATCCAGCAGCCTACCTTGCTGGTCCTTTTCTTTCTCCATGCTTACCTAGCATGGATGGTGGTAAACCTCACGTCAACCTCTTAAAAATTAGCAAAGAAAAAAGGGTGCAAACATTTTTACTAAATCTCACAGAAAAGGAAGGGGCTGTGCTTTCCCCCGTTGTGTCTGAACGGCTGACCCAATTGTGAAATGGAAGCGAACGCTGCATCACCCACCTGGGGAAGGTATCCACAGCATGTCACCACGTCAAACCCAAACTGGTCTATGAAGGGTCGTTCCGCGTGCCCGCCTCCTCTCCCTTGCAAGCAAAAGGAGAAAAGAACCATAACTACTTAGCTCCCTTGCTCCGAGAGACTGCAGAGCCGCTCTCGGACATCAGACTCCCCTTGAGGCCTGACCTCCGCATGCCCGACCACACCGGTTCCTCGCCAGAGACAAGCGGGGCCTTGGTGTCCAGTGACCCTCAGGACACCTGGAACAGAGAGCCTGTTCCAGAGACTTAATAGTCAAGGATACTGTCCTCAGTAGAATAATGGTAAGTTAAAAAAAAAAAAAAAAAAAAAGATACTAACTGCTTCCCAGAAGTGGCACCAGAATGCTGGGAGGGGGAGGCAGACACAGTGTCAAAAGAAGGGGGGAAGATATTCTACAGAGAGGAGAAAAAAAAACCCAGCCCATCACCCATCAGAAGGTGTGGACAATGGAGAGCCATTTGTGACAGATATACTGCTGTGCTTGGAAATGGTCTCTGTCCTTTGCAGTGCCCTTAACTCTAAGATAGTCCCAATAAAATGACCTCCATGTGGCTTGGAAGGGACAGGCCTGCCTTGTGTAGCAGATTCTTGGTGATGTTTTCTGATTGTCGGCCTAGCAGTTACCTCTCAGCCTACATGCAGATTACTGAGTGTCGAGGATCATAATACTGGAATATTCCCTCAATGCTAACACTATCTAAGCTCTAGATAGTCAGACGTGAGGGCTGTCATTTTGAGCCTCAGGTATGACTGTTCTTAGAAGAAAAGACACTGTGGTTAAAGGTCTCCCTTTTTATAGTGCAGACTAAAATAAAATATTAAGCCCCCATAGCCAACTGTATAGAACCCCTCCTGGCCGACGGGGAACACCCCCCACCCCACGCCCAAAAAAACAAACACTGAAGCTGAGTTGCAGCCATGAGGAGAAGGAAGGTCAGACCGGCCTGGTTACACCCTGTCACTTTTGGAGTTACTCTTTTTAACAATAAGATACAAAATCATTAACAAGCCCAAGGCCATGTAAGACAAAGATTAAACCATACCTGCAGGTCACCAATTTACTTAACAGATCTCTTGAGTCTCAGTATATGTCCAGTAGCTTGTCTCTGATTAACAGATTTATCTTAAAACATTCCAAGCCTTTAGACAAAACTTCATCTCTTTAACCAATTACATATCAAAAAATTTTTCAACCTACCTGTGACATATAAACCCCTGCTCAGAGTCCTGCTTTTCAGGCCAGGCTAATATATGCCTTCCAGGTACTGATTTATAACTTATATAATTCCTATCTCCCTAAAATATATAAAACCAAACTATAACCAAAGAAACCTTTTCAAATTATTTGACAGAATTTGGGTTCTTTTCCATTGACAAAAGAAAGCAATAGAAACTTTGATCAGACTCTTTTCTGGGGACTGAGAGGTAAAAGCAACCGTAATTCTATGGGGTTTCAAGCCCAGCAGAGGTTTTCTGTCTTTCAAATGCACTTACAATACATCGCACTGACTAATCACATTCATGGGTTCACTGCACTGCAAACACGCAGCCTCAGGGCTGATGTTCCTGTGCTCTGGCGTCAGCATGGGTCTGACCCACACAGACCCATGGGGTGGGCTGCAGCATGACCCCACCTGAGCCTACACTGGCTGAACGCTCCCCTCTAGGCAGGGTCCCCACGGCCCACACAGAAGCGTACCCACAGTGCCAGCCTCCTTCAGAAGCGACTCTCCAAGCTTCTTGTTGTCAAGGTGCAAATCTGCCAGCTGGGCTCCAAGCTGTGCAGCATAACTGTGAAAGAAAAGTCAGCGGCTGAACAAACAACACGCAAACAGCAGACATGCATCCTTGGCCTGCACATCACGTCGAGAGGTTCCCCTCTGTCTTGCCTTTGGCTTGCAGAGCTCATGATGTGTGCGATCATGGGTTCTTGATATCACACTTCAAAAGTATGCCCCCAAGTTCTGGCTATGAAAGAACCACTCAGTAAAAAAGTAAAGCCAACGCGAGAGGGGACAGTATCGAGAAATACCTGCTCAGATAGCGCATGTCCAGATGCTCCATCACCAGCATGCTCCCACCTCCGGGCGCGTCCAGAACCTTGATGGGCTTGGGCACTTTCACCGTGCCTGTGTTCAGGATGGCAGTTAAACTTGCCATCTCCCCTTCAAACATTCTTTTGGCCTGTCAGAAAAATAACAGAGGAGGGGAAAGTGGAAGGAGAGCAAGGTTGCATCAGGAAAGGTTCTGTTTTCCTCCAGCATTACAATTTCAAACCAAGGCCATCCTGACTGAGAACTCCACACACAAGGACAGTTTATTCAAAGGTGCCTGTCAGCAGAGGAGGCTCTAAGCTCTGAAGTTGTAAAGGAATAAGAGGGTTTGTACTTTCTAGCGCTGGAATATAACTGCATGCTATGTGGTTGGATCCAGAGGCTCTCCATGGAGAGGAAAGTAGAAGTTTCTGGCGTCGGGCTTCTTCGTGCCACACTGCATTCGTCATGCTGGTGCGTAAGCAGTGCGCGTGCACTCCCACTGCTGTGTGTGCTCCCCCGTGTGAGTGTTCTAAGATGCCCTCATCCGTCCTGCTACCGACGGACAGCTGGGCTCCCAGTGTGGGCCATGACGAACAGGGCCACCACGGACATTCTCCCACCTGTTCTCACAGTTACTAACGCTGAGACCCTGGGCAAGTTACTGAACTCTCTGTGCCTCAGTTTCCTCATCTCTAAAACTGGGTTAATCATAGTAACAATTTCATAGGCTTACTGTCATGATTAACTGAGATAGCAGTGAACAGTTACATAGTCTACTCCAAATACTTTATAAATAGTATTATTATCACTACCTTAGAGAAAGTTACTAAGAAGGAAGATAAGAACTGTTTCCTAAACAGAATTTTAAAAGCATTGTCTTTAGAAAATGAAAGGAAAACAACTGGGTATACTTTCACTAGAGTACTGGTTGTGGAGAGAAAAGTAAGAAAAAATGCAGGCAGAGGTAAAGAAGGATCTGGGAGTCCAGCCCAAGGCCAAGGCTCTTCACAGAAGTATCTACATCTGTATGACCCTAAATTTCTAACTAACTCCAAGAAAGTTAATTTTCTAGAGAGGACCCAAGGTAAAAATAAGCATCAGCTGGGGTATAGTGGTACAAAAGATCTAGAACTCAAGGGAGACGTGTGGGAGAAAACTAATTACACAGGTATGCAAACAGCAGATAAGAATAACCAAGAGGAAAAACAGCTGAGGCCAGGTCGACCCCGGCAGAGGTGAGAGCAACCCGGTAATCGTCTTTACGAACTCTAGAAGACAGTCGTGCCTCCTAGAAGGTAAAGCATAAAAGAGTCTCATTTCCAACCCAAGTGGCAAATATTTGGCTAGTTGCCTCACTCACACTGCATATTCCAAAGCATGCCGGAGTGCTCACTTCGGCAGCACATATACTAAAATTGGAACGATACAGAGAAGATTAGCATGGCCCCTGCGCAAGGATGACATGAAAAGTTCGTGAAGCGTTCCATATTTTCCCCAAAGCTAGATACACCGTCAATTCCTTTGGCATCAGGAGAAATGAGAAGACTGCAGTCCACTGCACAGTCAGAGGGGCCAAGGCAGAAGAAATCCTGGAGAAAGGTCTAAAGGTGCGAGAATATAAGTTAAGAAAAAAATAACTTCTCAGATACTGGAAACTTTGGATTTGGGATCCAGGAAAACATCGATCTGGGTATCGAATGTGATCCAAGCATTGGTATCTACGGCCTGGACTTCTATGTGGTGCTGGGTAGGCCAGGTTTCAGCATCGCAGACAAGAAGCGCAGACAGGCTGCATTGGGGCCAAACACAGAATCAGCAAAGAGGAGGCCATGTGCTGGTTCCAGCAGAAGTATGATGGGATCATCCTTCCTGGCAAATAAATCCCCGTTTGTATTCAAAAGGCCAATAAAAAAGTTTTCAATGAAAAAAAAAACAAAACAAAACAAAAAGCATGCCGGAAAATGACATTCTGGAATTATTTACCAAAGGACTAGAAGGAACTTACATGAGGAAAATTAGCAAAAAGAAAAAGGACTTTCATGATGAAATAAGCAAATAAGAACTCAAAGAAATAGCAGTGGAAGAACAATGTTTAAAAAGCATCACTAAGTGGTTAGATTTTAGCCAATGGAAAATATTTGTTTCCCCTGTAACCAACACCAAATTTTGAATTATTGCAAATGCCACTGGGGGTGGAAATACAAAGATGTGAAACAGACAGATACCATTTAAAAGGGGGGAAAGAACCAACCAAACAGAGAAGCCCTGCTATGGAACATGCGGAGGGACACCTCTGCTACATAAGCACTGCTCAGGGTAAATCAATGTAAGAGTAACTTCAAGGGAGCAATAGCTGGCCAAGTGCGGTGGCTCACGCCTATAATCCTAGCACTGCGGGAGGCCAAGGCGGTGGATCTTTTGAGCTCAGGAGTTCGAGACCAGACTGAGCAAGAGCAAGACCCTGTCTCTACTAAAAATAGAGAGAAATTAATTGGACAACTAAAAACATATAGAAAAATTAGCCGGGCATGATGGCACATGCCTGTAGTCCCAGCTACTCAGGAGGCTGAGGCAGAAGGATTGCTTGAGCCCAGGAGTTTGAGGTTACTATGACGCTAGGCTGATGCCACAGCACTGTGCCCAGGAACAGAGTAGTGGAACTCTGTCTCAAAAAAAAAAAAAAAAAACCAGCTGAAGCAACGAGGAGACCCGTCTCTACCAAAATAGAAAAGTAGTAAATGCGACAGCTAAAAAATATATAGAAAAATTAGCCGGGCATGTGACTGCATCCTTAGTCTCAGCTACTTGGAGGCTGAGGCAGGAGATCCAGAGTTTGAGGTTGGGTGGAGCTAGGCTGACGCCACGGCACTCTAGCCCAGGCAACAGAGTGAGACTCTGTCTCAAAAAACAAAAAAGACAAATAGCTGACAAATTCCTATAAAACTAATGTCCACGATGACATGTAGCTGACCGCTGCAGAACACAGAGTTGCATACAGCAGTGTTTCAGAGTGAGATCATCCCACACCATGGAAAGTAGGGTTCATTTCTGGGAAGAAAATTAAAATAACTGCAAGAATGAATTCTAAGGAAAGGATAAAAGCAGAACCAAGCTGTGTGACACAGGCTTACTTGGCATGGGGGTTAGCACCTTCAGTCCTGTTTGAGAAGGAACTGCCCCATCGGCATTGGAGTGCCTTCCAGGTGAGTACTGGAATGACCCAACTAAACCTGGCACAGAAGGGACACGGACAACCAGAAGCACAACTTCAGCAGCGAGGCTCACCCTGTGTTCCACAGCCCTTGAGACAAAGTGCCCATGCAAACAGAAAGGAGTAGCTACATTATCTTTTTTTGTTGTTGTTTTCAGTATATTATGGGGGTACAAATGTTAAGGTTACGTATATTGCTCTTGCCCCCCCTCCCCCCTGCTACATTATCTTCTGACAACTCAGAAAGCGTTCTGGTCTCTGCTTCTTTTATCTGCCCTTGTTCAAAGCTCACGCAACATAAAGGGTTTTCTCAAAATAGTGGTCACAACAGTCACAGGGCAACGACGCACAGCATCCGTCACAAAGGCCGTCGCCGGGGAGAAATCCTGAGCGGGGGTTGCGGGCCTCCCGTGGGCTGCGGGTCCCGCGTGGGACAGGCGCCCTGCACCCACAGCCCGCGACCCTGTGGCCCAAGTGGCCCAGCCTGTGAGAAGAGGGTCGCCACTGGCCACCGGCCACCTGTGCCCCGCAGCCACAGGCTGTGACCTTGTGGACCCCAGGCCCAAGCCTGACCCCGAACCCCGCCTGGACCCCGAATCCATTCCCAGACCCCAGACCCCAGAGCCCAGAGCCCAACCCCGGTCCAGACCCCGAGTCCGACCCTGACCCCAACCCCAGCAGCCGCCCGCCCCGGCGGCCCTGACCTCCGGCTTGGAATTCACTTTCACAAACACTCGCCCTCTGTCCGTGTCGTAACTCTGGCCCTGGCTGATGCACCCGCCCCCCGAATGACCCGTGGCCTTGACGGAGGCGCAGCCCAGCTCGCGCCTCAGCAGCGCCTCCATTGCTCTCCGCCCAGCCGCGGACTCGCGTCAGGCCCTGACAGAGACGCCGCGACTGCTGGGCGGGGCGGACGCGGGTCCGCGCGGGGATTGGGCGAGCGGCAGGCAGGCGCGGGCCGGGCAGTAGAGACGAGCGCGGCGATTGGACGAGCGGCGTGCAGGCGCGGGCCGGGCAGCAGAGACGAGCGCGGTGATTGGGTGAGCGGTGGGCAGGGGCGTCCAGGCTACAGAGACAAACGCAGGGATTGGGCAACGGCGGGCCTTCTCCAGGGGGGCGGGCGGGAGCGAGCGGAGCTCTGTGCAGCGGTTTGGCGCGGACTCGCCCCGGCCACGACGGACCTCTCCTGTAGAGGCTCCGAGACGATCCGCTGCCGGCCCCATCGTCCCGGGCTCAAACGCTGCTGGATCCTTCCTGCCCTCCTTGCCCTGTGCCCCCTCAGTCCCCTCTGCCCCCTCTGCGCCCTCTGCCCCCTCAGTTACCTCTGCCCCCTCTGCGCCCTTTGCCCCCTCGGTCCCCTCTGCCCCCTCAGTTCCCTCAGTTCCCTCTGCCTCCTCGGTCCCCTGTGCCCCCTCTGCCCACTCTGCATCCTCAGTGCCCTATCCCCCCCCTCCCCCCTCTTTCCCCTCGGTCCCCTCCGCCCCCTCAGTGCCCACAGCCCCCTTCCCTCCCTCCGTGCTGTGTGTGCGCTCGGCCCGCTTCGTGCTGTGTGTGCACTCGGCCCCCTGCGTGCTGTGTGTGCGCTCGGCCCCTTTCGTGCTGTGTGTGCACTCGGCCCCCTCTGTGCTGTGTGTGCGCTCGGCCCCCTCCGTGCTGTGTGTGCACTCGGCCCCCTCCGTGCCCTCCGCCTCCTCCGTGCCCTCCGTGCCCTCCGTGCCCTCCGTGCCCTCCGCCCCCTCCGTGCCCTCCGTGCCCTCCGCCTCCTCCGTGCTCTGTGTGCCCTCCGCCCCCTCCGTGCCGTCGGCCCCCTCCGTGCCCTCGGCCCCCTCCGTGCACTTGGTCCCCTCCGTGCACTCCGTGCCCTCCATCCCCTCCGTGCCCTCGGCCCTCTTCGTGCTTAGTGTGCCCTCGGCCCCCTCCGTGCCCTCGGCCCCCTCCGTGCCCTCGGCCCTCTTCGTGCTTAGTGTGCCCTCCGCCCCCACCGTGCCCTCGGTCCCCTCCGTGCCCTCGGCCCTCGTGCTTAGTGTGCCCTGCGCCCCCACCGTGCCCTCGGCCCCCTCCGTGCCCTCGGTCCCCTCCGTGCCCTCGGTCCTCTCCGTGCCTTGTGTGCCCTCCGTGCCCTCGGCCCCCTCCGTGCCTCGTGTGCCCTCCGTGCCCTCGGCCCCCTCCGTGCCCTAGGTCCCCTCCGTGCCCTCCGTCCTCTCGGTGCCTTGTGTGCCCTCCGTGCTCTCGGCCCCCTTCGTGCCTTGTGTGCCCTCCGTGCCCTCCGCCCCCTCCGTGCCCTCAATCCCCTCCGTGCCCTCGGTCCTCTCCGTGCCTTGTGTGCCCTCCGTGCCCTCGGTCCTCTCCGTGCCTTGTGTGCCCTCCGTGCCCTCGGCCCTCTCCGTGCCCTCGGCCCTGTCCGTGCCCTCGGCCCCCTCCGTGCCCTCCACCCCCTCCGTGCCCTCCATCCCCTCCGTGCCTTCCGTCCTCTCCGTGCCTTGTGTGCCCTCCGACCCCTCCGTGCCCTCCATCCCCTCCGTGCCTTGTGTGCCCTCCGTCCCCTCCGTGCCCTCGGTCCTCTCCGTGCCTTGTGTGCCCTCCATGCCCTCGGTCTCCTCCGTGCCCTCGGCCCTCTCCGTGCCTTGTGTGCCCTCCGTGCTCTGTGTGCCCTCCGTGCCCTCGGCCCCCTCCGTGCTCTGTGTGCCCTCCGTGCCCTCGGCCCCCTCCGTGCTCTGTGTGCCCTCCGTGCCCTCGGTCCCCTCCGTGCTCTGTGTGCCCTCCGTGCCCTCCGTCCCCTCCGTGCTCTGTGTGCACTCCGTGCCCTCGGTCCCCTCCGTGCTCTGTGTGCCCTCCGTGCCCTCCGTCCCCTCCGTGCTCTGTGTGCCCTCCATGCTCTGTGTGCCCTCCGTGCCCTCGGTCCCCTCCATGCACTCCATGCCGTCAGTGCCCTCCGTGCCCTAGGTCCCCGTGCCGTCGGTGCCCTCCGTGCCCTCGGTCCCCTCGGTGCCCTCCACCCCCTCGGTGCCCTCTGCCCCCTCAATGCCCTCTGCCCCCTCTGTGCCCTCGGCCCCCTCGGTGCTCTCCATGCCGCTCTCCATGCCGCTCTCCGTGCAGTCCGTGCCCTCTGCCCCCTCTGTGCCCTGAGCCCCCTCAGTGCCCTCTGCCCCCTCTGCCCATTCTGCACCCTTGGTCCCGTTGTGCGCCCTGTAGAAGGCGCTGCCCTCCACCTGCCAATGAAGATCAAGGCCATGCGGCTGGGCGGGCTCCCCGGCGCTGTCTCCCTCGCTAGACCTCGGCCCGGGGATCAGACCGGCCTGCTGTACGCGTCAGGGCTCTCCAGGGAGATCTCACCTGCAGGCCGCCTGTGTGTACACAGAAAGGTTTGTTTTCAGGACTTGGCTCAGCAATTATGAAGGTGCAAACACAAACTCTGCAGGGTGGGCTGGCAGGCCAGGCTGAGGTGATTGTGCTCGCAGAGTTCCTTCTCTCTCCGGGAAGGTCCGTTTTCTCTTGCAAGGCTTTCACAGGATTGCGTGAGGCCCGCCCGCAGGATGGAGGGTCGTCTGCTTTTTTCAGAGTCTGCTGACTTACATGTTAATCTCATCCAAAAACACCCTCGCAGAATATCCAGGGTAATGTTTGACCAGATGTCTGGGCAGCTGACACATGGGATTAACCAGCAAACTCCCCATTGTTTCCCAGTGCCCAGCACAAGTGCCAGGCATGTTGTGGGCATTTAACAAGAATGTGCTAAACAACGAGCAAACAGGGCCTTCGAGTTTCAAAAAATAAGAGCAGATGAAGAAAGTTCTGTTCAAAGATTGTTTGAACTAAAACTTTCTTCTGAAAACAACTTGCAATGTTAATTAAAATAGTTAAAATACATCTTCTAAAGAGCATGAAAGAGGCCGGGCGCGGTGGCTCACGCCTGTAATCCTAGCTCTCTGGGAGGCCGAGGCGGGCGGATCGTTCAAGTTCAGGAGTTCGAAACCAGCTTGAGAAAGAGCGAGACCCCGTCTCTACTATAAATAGAAAGAAATTGATTGGCCAACTAATATACAGAAAAAATTAGCCGGGCATGGTGGCGCATGCCTGTAGTCCCAGCTACTCCGGAGGCTGAGGCAGGAGGATTGCCTGAGCCCAGGAGTTTGAGGTTGCTGTGAGCGAGGCTGATGCCACGGCACTCACTCTAGCCTGGGCAACAAAGCGAGACTCTGTCTCAAAAAAAAAAAAAAGAGCATCAAAGAGCTGACAAAATAACAAGAAACATCAGCCCAAAATCTGGGTGATGGGAACCCAAAGTGTTAAGCAAAGGTCAAAAATTGCTCTCAACTTGAGGACATTTGCTGAGCCCTTTATTTAGCGAGTGAGGTAGGCATGAGAACGCAGGGCTGGCCTAGGGTAAACACGTGTGGGGTGGTCTCCATGAATCTGAGCCCCCCCAAGGGCTCCTGTGAGGGTGAGGGTGATCTCAGGAGTCAGTTTGGACTAAGGAACACCTAGAAACCTGGTGAAGCATTATGTTGGGGTATCTGTGAGGGTGTTTCCAGAAGACAGTAGCACATGAGTCTGAGTAGACCAGGTGGGGACGCTCTGCCCTGGGTGTGGAGGGTACCGTCCAATCTGCGGGGGGGCGGGGGAGGGGGCCAGAGGGAACTAAAACAGGGAAAGGGCATATATGTTGGTGTATCTGCAGGGCTGGGACACATGTTTCCTCTCCAGTCCTTGGACAACAACTCCAGCCCCAGCCTGTGGACTCCAGGACTCAGACCAGCTCCTCCCCCAGCACTCTCCCTACCCCGGGTTCTCAGGCCTCAGACTAAGAGTGACACCATCATCGGCTTCCCTGGTTTCTGAGGCCTTTGGATTTATTTGGACTGAGCTGCACTACCAGCATCCCAGGGTCTCCAGCGCACAGAGGGACTTCTCGGCCTCCATAATCGCATGAGCCAGTTCCCCTGATAACCCCCCTCATGTATCTATGTCTAAATCTGTACATCTGCATCTATCTTATTGGTTCTCTCTCTCTGGACAACCTGACTAATACAGCCATACTCTCAACAAAAGGATGAACCACAAGAAAGTCAGAATATAAACCACCCCAGAAGAATATAAGGCCTTGGCCTTGAGCAAAGGACGGTATTGGTAAAAATCATTCTCATAGTCTGCTCTCGCCTGGATTTGCAGCCCATACACCAGCTCGATAATAAATGTCCATCATTTTAAGCCGCTACCTTTGTAGTAACTTGTTCCACAGCAGTAGAAAAGTAGTACATAAATATTCAACTATATAGCGAATGAATACATTCTGGAATATTCATAAATGGATACAACCCAGCAAATGATAAAAACAAACAATAGTTGTATTCCAGAGTTGTATGTGCCAATTGCCAAAGAAAGACACAACACACATAGTGTAATTGCATTTTTTATACAGTTATAAACTTGTCAAAACCAAGTCCATTATTTAGGCATTCGTATCAGACAGTAAAATAATAAAGCAAAGCCAGCCGGGGGGTGTTAGTGTTCTTGGGCCTCCACAGCAAAGTGCCATAGACTGGGGCTTAAGCAACAGGAACGTATTTCTCATGGTCCTGGAGGCTGGAAGCCCCATTTCCAGGAGTTTCCAGGGGTGGTGTCTGGCGAGGCCTCCTGGCTTGTGGACTGCCACCATCTCACCGTGGGCTCACGTGTCCGTACCTCTGTGTGCACAGGGTTGCGGGGCAGAAAGATCCTGTCACTCTTCCTCTTCTTATAAGGAACCCCAGTCCTATCAAACTAGAGCCCCACCTGTATGACCTACTTAACCTTCATCATCTCCCTAAATGCCCCATCTCCAAATGCAGTCACATTGTCCGTTAGCGCCTTCCATGTGAATCTGGGCACACAGTTCGGTCTAGGACAGTGTCTTTCGCAAAAGGCAGGACGGGTTTGGACGGACGCTGTTGGTGCCCTGCCACATGCCCTCCATTCCCAGCAGACCAACCTGCAACTCCAGGAGGGTTTTCTCTACCTCCGGTGCCGGCCGGGTGCAGGGCAGGCAGGGGTCTCGGGAGAGCCAGTGCCCCCAGGAACAGCGACCTCTGAGTTCTGCCCCTAGAATCCTCAGCAGGCTTGAGCCTGGTCACCTCAGCACCTCTGCTGGCTTCCTGCCTCCCGTCCCCACCCCACAGGGCTGCCTGGGTCACTCGTGCCTTACCTGTGTCTGCGGGGCCTCCCCCATGTCAGTCCCTGGCACCACGCCACAGGGAGTGTGTCACACCAAGGAGGTTCTGGTGTACTGGCCTTGCTGGCTATAGATCAGCAAGGAGAGGTGGTTTATAACCCCCAGTGTTCACTTTATAAATGTTATAATTATTTATGATTATTTACCAAGTGTGCCGTACATGTGTGTTCTCATGCACTTTTCCATGTGTGTATTGCATTTCGCGATTTTAAAAAGCAAAAAAAGAACAGATGAAAACCTGCAAATGATAGTCGATCAACTAACACTTTAGAGAATCAAAATATATTCCAAAGGCCACAGAGTGGGTGACTCTCAGCATCTGTCCAATGGGGTGACACTGGTGCTGCTGCACCTTGTGTCCTTGGATACTGCTTCCAGTCCGGTCAAGGCCTGTTTTTATCTGTGGTCTTGCCTGTTTGGGCATTTTATTAATAACTCTGTGCCATGAATATGAAATTTTTCATCAAAACTATGCACCATTGATTTTTTGTTGAGAAATTATTTTCTTTTATGTGTGTGTGTTCAACTTTTTATTTTAGTAAAATCAGAATAAACACAGCACATGCAGTGCTAGCATCTAAAACTAATACAATAAGCAATTACTAAACTTACAGTGACTTGAGGTTCAATGTTTACATTCAGCAAGTTAAATCCACTCTTATTTACTGAAAATATTGCTGGCTGATAAAACTGAACGTAAAAGTCACTGACTATGGCAATACACAAAGATAACTACATGTTTGAGGATTACAAATATGCCAGACAATCACTGAAAACAAAACCAAACAAAAACACATAACTAAACAAAACCAGAAAAGCTTGAAGAATGTGGACACTTCATATGGATGTTTAGAAGTGCTTCATTAATATCTTAAAGACAAGTGTATCAAAACCTTGGCATGTTTTAATTTGAAGTTGCCAATTTCGTCTTAAATTCTGTCACAAAATAATAGCCACATTGCCAATGCTGGGTCTGGTTAATTTGACTCAAGTTTAATAGGACTTAACATTAAAAGCTCACACTACCCCAAAATATATTATTTCACATATTGGTGACATTCAACATTAAAGTGAAGTGTTTTTTGTACTGTCTTTTGGTCAAGTTTCTTTAAACTTTCAAAGAATCAATTTTAGGCTTACAAAAATAAATATTTGTCAAAATGTTTAATAAATATTACACAAACTAGCAGCAAAAAGTATCTAAATCTGTCATGTGCAAATAGTTTTATTCTCGACTATCATTCCATGGTCCCAAATAAAATTCTAGAATCTAGTTCTTAACAAGCTGCGTTCAACAATCTCCAAGAGAAAAAATAAGATTGGAAGTTTGAGGACAGTCACACAAGACATATATATATATATATATAATTCTCTGAATGTGCAATAAGATAAGTATTTGTAAAAAGTTATGGGCAAAATGTACAAGAGTCTAAACCTATACTAATTGAAATAACACCATAACAAATGACCTCAATACTGTCAAGTGCACCTACTTTAATAAAAGTTTTAGAACAAGGCACAATACACTTGAAAATCTATTGCACTTTAAGAAATTTGTGCCAACTTCTTATGCCACTGTGAAGATTTGTTTTTAAAAGATCACTGCAGTCTGGCCACAAAATCAGCACAGAATTCCAAGTGGGAGAGGCATTTTTAGTGGTGGACAATCATCTTTGGCCAAATTCAGCGTAAACAGACTATAATTACAATGGAAACCTATGCAACTAAAATACATTAAAACTGCACTATATAGAACTGATATGTTTTGCAGTTTAGTACATATTTCCAACCTGTGTGATCTCTGGGAATTATATTTTGTTATTCT